CGAAGTCCTACAAGGATTACTAGAATTTGAAACAAGAACCAACACCAGGGGCAAGGGCTATAAACTAAAAAACTGCGTTGTAACACATCCATGCGACAACATTTCTTTTCGCTTCGAGTCACCGACATGTGGAACAGCCTCCCTGAAAACATCGTTGACGCTTCGAGTATGAACGCCTTCAAGAACAGACGAAGCTATGCAGGAGCATATTGTATGTTCAGTCTTGAAATGCCTAGCAACTTACGGACCAGGCAATAAATCCAGCAGCTATCTCATCAAGCAATCGTCAGTTATGGAAAGATCGGTTTCTAAAGGCCGGATCCCCTGTGAATCAAGTCACGAAAAGTACAAGAATCGGCCACTGGCCATGGGCCTATTTCTTCAGTGCCGTCACTTCTATTCTATTCGTCTAAATATTTTCGGGCCACATAAAACGAATAATATAATATCACAACCAGGGTCGCCAGACGTTCTTTTTTCGGACAAATTCCGCGATTTAGTTTTAGCGTTGGCCGGCTTAAATTTATGATAGGGGTACTTCTTAATTAAACTTTAAAAACAGTAAAAAAAGAAATAACATTTTTACACGGGAACCTACAAATATACTAGTAAATATCGAGTTTTTTACTTTTTGGCCTTTCTTGTTAGCGGACTTGGCCGTTTTTTATGCCATCTGGTAACCCTGATCACAACGTAACTTTATTTTATTTTCATATGATATTAATAACTGTCTTTGTATGTTTAAAAGTTAAAATAAGAGCTCGTATCACATCACGACCTGTAGCTCGACGACTCCCAAGAAGTTCGATGTTTCTTGCATTTCAGAGAATCAACAAAAAGCGTCCGCGTCGCCACTCGCACTGGAGCAAATTTTAAGACAGATTCGTTCTGTTCATTTGAAATTATTTGCAAAAGTTCAGAGAGCGCGAGTCGGGCGTTAAATGAAGTGAAGGCTAATTAAATGAGGCGAGCCTCGCACAGGTGAGGCTGAGGGGTGAGGCAGTGGTGGGGCTGTGTAGTGAGGCGGTGGTGAGGACTAGGAGTGCGGAAGGAATGAACATTGGAGTGTGAGCAGAGAGATGGGAATGAGTTATGTGGTGTGTAATGAATATCGAAATGTTAGTAGAGTGAGAGGAATGAGGTATGAGGCGGGTTGTGGATATTGAAATGTGAGTGGATTGAGGGGAATGAGGTATAAGTTGGGTAATGAATATTCGAGTGTAAGTGCACTAAGTGGGGTGAGGTGAATGAGAAATGATGTGGGTAAAGACTAATGATTATACGAGTGTGAGTAAAGTGAGGGGAATGAGGTTGCATGTGGCAACGTGGATTGCTGAATAAATTGGTCGAAGTTCAGGGATGTAGACATAAAAAAAGATAAGCGATGGTATGCGAATTTACAGTGAAGTGCAGGACGCAGTCATATACATAAGAGAAGATCGTGTGGAAGCAAGCCAAAGTAGAAGTCATGTGCTGAAGGCCTAAAGAAGATAAACTAAAGCACGATAATTAAGAAGTCGAGGGAGGAAAAAATGAAGCAGATACAATGGTGCTATGATGTGGAAATTTCGAGGATAATTGAAATGAATACAGCAAGAAAACGGCCGTTTGCTTGTAATTAATGAAGTTCATAATTAATTGAGAATATGGGAGCCAGATGATTGTTTAGAGCTGACTTAGTGAGCTTATTGTTAATAAATTACAATAAAATTTATTGTTGAAAATAAAACTGGCTTTAATTCAAGAATAAAAATAAGAAAAAGTAGTTGAAGACAACTCAATATTTACCTCAGGAACACAAGGCGAGATGTCTTGTCATGGCGTTCGCTACATGGAAGCTCAAAACCAAACAGGCGCTGGTCGAAAAATTTAGCGAAAGCCTCGTTCTCCTCCAGCCTGAGTTTGCTGAGCCTGGGTATGACGATGCATGGGCAGCACAGGTTATAAGTCGAAAAAATTATAACGGTGGATGAGAATGGTGGAGGAAGGCAGTGAGATATAAATCCGACGCGGGGTTCAACTTCTGGAAGTTTGCACGAAGGGCAGTGATGTTGACACGTTGTTGTGCTTTCGTCACGCTGAAGTCTGCTGAAATTTCCTTCTGCCAAAAATTTCGTCTGGAAAAAAAAGAAAATACAATAGTGCTACGATTTATATATGCATGAAATTATTACTTCTGGACATTAGCGTTCGTGAAATGTTTGAAGACCAAAGCTTAAAACTCAATAGAAACAAAACTCTTCTGATCACGCTGCTGAAGGCGACTGAAATGTATTCCTGAGGCCATATTCTCAACGAAAAAACAGAAGCCCTCATGAAGTTCAATTAAATCTAGCGAAAAATAAACCCATGCAATGATAACACGAATTTCCTTGATTACAAATCAACAGTAAACGCAAGTCACATGAAAACACAAGTACAGAGATCTGGCCAAAAACCAGGACAACCGACCGACATGTACACTACGTGAGCATCAGCGCCCACAAGTCTCGTAGTCAGGGCAACAATCTGCGCTCCAATTCATTAGTGCAGAGGCGAGAGACGCTACTTAGCATGGCTGACCGCAGAACTTAGAGCATAATTTGCCTGTGGTCTCATATGCCGACATGCCAATGGGCCAACTTCCGACACCTGCTGCGCCAAAAGAAAACACTGCATATTAAACACGCCATTGAGACCGAGCTCGAGTCCCATAACGACAGCGTCATGTTCGCGCCAAAACTCGACATCAAATTAAACCTTCTTCCTGTATCTTTTGAATGAGTTCATCTTAGATAATTAGACAACTTTTGACTCATATCTTCAGTGTTATTCTTGAAATTTTTATATTATCAATACGCATAATGAACGACTGATTGATTGAAAAGTAATTTAATTTGAATAATGTACCTGGTTAGTCCGTTTACGTGTTACAAAGTTGTGCTGGAAACATCAAGTAGTAAATGAAACTGTAACAGAACAGGTGACGGGCTTGCTATCAAAAGTTATGAGAGCAAAATAAATCTTGGTAGCATAACTAACTTTTCTTCAAATGATGTTCCCAAAACTTGTCTGTCCCCAAGCAAGACCATTGTTCTTGGCAAAGCTGTTCCAGCTGTCAGGTGGCTTGTACCTTCCTGCCCTACCGAACAGCTGGAGAGAGTGTTTGCCAGAACGGCACCTTCTGTGTGCGTTATTTGGGTCCGCCTCAGTTCTTTTGTTTTGCTCAAATATACTCAAGAGGAGGCCACATTGTCGGACTCCAACGAGGGCAGATTGCTCACTTCGTTTAACGATCAGTCACCGCCATCAGTAAAGAAGCGACCGATTGTTGCATCACCTTATCTTAATTAGACTTTGATGATCACTTACTTATGGGCTTGATCAAGTCTCGAATTACCATTATTATTACCACACAGTTTACTATTTTATTCATGCAGCACTGTGTTTATTCATGCAGCACCGTGTTTATCAGTTGGAACAAAATACATTCTGCAGGGTGAATGTACGATTACATTCACCATGCCCGGTTCAAGAGGACCTTATTTTGACTTAACTTTAATTGAATTTTGAAACTCGAGCTAAGTACTCATAAGCTACGAGTGAGGGAAGAAACCATCGAGAGTAAATTTGAGGTGAGGCTATCTTGCATGTGTATAGAATTTATAAATACAAAATACGGCGAATTTTTTGCTTGATCAACAGATAACTCGGCGCGTAAGTGAATTGGCCCTGGATTTTGGATTGAGTCACTGCATGGCGCACACGTCCGAGTTAATGATTTTGTGGTTGTTTATTGAATTTCTGCACGAGACTGTAAAACTTGAATAGAAAAAGTGCAGTTGCGAACTTCTGCTGATGCCAACAACATAATGCTGATGCTTCGTCGTATCGTGCGAACAACATGCTGATGCCTCGTCTTATCGTGCCAACAACATGCTGATGCTTCGTCGTATCGTGCCAACAACATGCTGATGCCTCATCTTATCGTGCCAACAACATGCTGATGCCTCTTCTTATCGTGCCAACAACATGCTGATACCTCGTCTTTTCGTGCCAACAACATGCTGATGCCTCGTCTTATCGTGCCAACAACATTCTGATGCTTCGTCGTACCGTGCCAACAACAATTCGTGCAGCAATTGTTGCAGTCTGAAAAGCGGGCAACTGTCAGATAAAATGTGATCCAGCTAACTCCTTTGAGATTGAAGTCTCGCAGTCATTTGTTTGACAAATCACAAAACATATCAGATTATTAGTGGAACCGCGCAACACCTTTTCGTACTATGTTCATACACATCTAAAACATCTGTTTGCTTCACCGGGTTCTCTTCTCAAGCTTCACGGCCTAACGCCCGTTCCCGTTAGGTTTTTACTCGCAATATTCGCTCTCGCGTACTCGTAATGTCCTAAGTAATTAGAGGCAAAGTTTAATCCACGGCGCCGCACCACACCAAAGATTGCTTCTGCTGCACACCGCCACCTACGAACGAGCGGCTGGAACAAGACTGAAAAGATTGCATTTGCTGCCTAACATCGTACCTGGCTGAAAAATAAGGACAACGGCCCCGATTGTTCTTCCTAAGGGACATATTGAACCCGAAGGCTCATGAGAAATAGCAGTACTTCACACACGATCGACGCCACCACGATGTCCTGGTCTACGATCGAACGAGTAAATTGCTGGTTATTATATGGTTAAGATTTGAAGTTTGTGCACCAATTTAATACGGTTTTTGTGCACCAATTTACACATACTTAGAATACTGAAATAAATTTCCAATCGTTTGGAGAAGAGGAAGAATTTTTCCAAGAAGAATTTTATCAATTTTTCTGCCCATTTATGCGTGCAGATCGTAAAAAGTCGAAATTGAGCTGCTCGTGCAAGGTTCTCCAGCTTTTACTCGTCTCAGTCACGCCTGAAAGTTAATTCGCCCAACGAAATTTGATCTGCGTGAGCAAACAAAGTCGAAGAAAGCCTTTTACAAGCGGGTCTTAATAAGGCACAAGCCGGCCATACGATGCCATTCTCAGGAGGCGGCAGCAAGCAGCGCTCTAGCTTCGGTGCACTGCAACTTTCAAGTTTCACAAACGATCCAGAGCAGGATGGTGAATTATATATTATTGATCAGCATCATTCGCCAGAATCAAAAAAAATCGCTGTACTTAGTTTACATTCGTGCTCGCGCTGTAGTTTCAACTCGAAATGTTCACGCCAATGCTCAGCGCCAGGCTCTAAATTTCAAGCATGGCGGCTTTACACCTTGTCGAGATGCAGACTTTGGTCGTGGTTCCAATCAACGCTGTAAGGCAAGATTAACTTGACCTCAGCCAGGCATTGGAGCGTGAAACACTGAGTCAGCTTTATGGTCTGTCTCTGAGCATGCAGGAGCTTTTACCACACAAGCTATATTATAGCCTTCCAGGAATTTAAAAACAAAGAATTTCTTTGCTTTTAAATTCCTGATTAACTTGCGATTTAAGCAATCTAGTAATTTTATTACTTATAGCCTTCCAGCTTACAGAACCTCGTTTAAAACTCTTGTCTAATGTATTCATATGCATTAATCGCAACAGTTAATAAGAACAGTTTACGCGATAAACATTAAATTAGACTTCAGTGTTATTGTCTACTTGCAGGTCTCAAAGCAGAGGTGTCCCCGACCATGTGTCATGCATCATGGTGCTGTTACTTCTATTCTGTGCAGGTCAGCACATTTTTGCTATTTCATTTTTACACCGATCAATACTAACATTGTGTGCCAAAGCAAATTTTTGCCTTTAGCCCTTCAATTTAAACTGAAAAATCTTATGATGTATACAGCGCATGCACAAGTCCTGCAATTATCCTTAACCCTGTTTCTCTGTGTTAATGACTATATAATGATATTGGTAAGTGCTTTCATTATTTATCACCAAGATTCTCATGGTTACATTTCGCAAACTCAGCTCTATATATTCACGAGGAGTAACTGAGCCTTCCTGGTTTGCCCGACCACTGGCAGCTGATGAACTAAAATATGCCGATACTGGCCTAACATGGAGGCAAAAACCTTAGAGCCACTCAAAAGCGAGAGGACACAAAAAAATTTGTGTTACGTGCTCGCATAAGTGTGATTAAATTGGAAGTTGTCGTATAAAATATATTTTCGTGTGGCCCAAGGACCACATCAGACTGTAGTAAATGCATGATGTAGCGTAATTTGCTACATATATATACATATCCATATCTATATATTGTATGCAAATAAATTAATGCGTGCTTCCTATCTTCCTGTATACGTGTTTCTATCCACGTGTTTTATTTTTATTTTCTTTTAACCCAAGCCCGCGAATATCATAATGTACCATTAAGACAATCATCCATGGCCGTACGTGTCAAGGGACTTTCCCACTCATATATCCGTTATTTTGTGCTATATTTTATAGCTCTGCTCTGGTGTGATCTCTGAAACTCTTGGAATTACTTTTAAGCTTATATCATATCATCTATTCATACATAAATTTAATTACAATACTTTTCTCTGTAATCGTTTCCATCGTCACGCAGGTCGCTCGTCACCGCTCCGCCTACTGCGCACCGTCATCCCTGACTACGCGCTGAGAGGTGGGTCAGCTCGACTCACTTGCGACTACGACGCTGGCGAGTCATCGCTGTACTCCGTGCGATGGTTCAAAGACGACCTCGAGTTCTACAGATACGTGCCTCGATCTGTGCCTTCATATCAAGTCTTTCAGCGCCAAGGCTTCGTGGTTGATGTGAGTTGTACTAAAAAATGTAAAAAATTCAGTGCCTCCCCATGAAGTCTTTCAGTGCCAAGGCTTCGTCGTGGATGTTAGTTGTGTGTTAAAAAATATTTTAGTTCCTCCCCATGAAGTCTTTCAGCGCCAAGGCTTCGTCGTCGATGTAAGTTGTATTTTGAAAAAATTTCAGTGCCTTCATATCAAGTCTTTCAGCGACAAGGCTTCGTCGTCGATGTGAGTTGTACTAAAAAATTTAAAAAAAATCAGTGCCTTCCCATGAAGTCTTTCAGCGCCAATTAAGGCTTCGTGGTTGATGTGAGTTGTGTGTTAAAAAGTTCAGTGCCTTCCCATGAAGTCTTACTGCACCAAGGTTTCGTCGTGGATGTGAGTTGTATGTTGAAAAAAAGTTCATTGCCTTCCCATGAAGTCTTTCAGCGCCAAGGCTTCATGGTTGATGTGAGTTGCATGTTAAAAAGTTCAGTGCCTTCCCATGAAGTCTTTCAGCGCCAAGGCTTCGTCGTCGATGTAAGTTGTATGGTAAAAGATTAACTGATTTACGTCTGATAGCGACATCGAAAATTACTGTTAAAAGTACGTCGACCGTAGGACAATCCACAAGGATTTTAACGACTCTTCCCAGTATACTGATTTTTTATATATAGAAATTTTCCTTAAACTATGATGGAGGATATTGATATGTGATATATAGAGTACAAAATGGCATGCATATATAAAGAAGGTGTTATATTAGGTGCATGGTGGACAGTGCATTATTATTTGTTAAGTGCATGGTAAACATCTTGTCAATAATTATTATAACATATCATTTACTACATCAGAAAATTCAAGGTTTATTGAACAGATTAATTTCACTGATAATTTTTTATTGTTTTTTTTCGATTTGGCGATTAGATCCTTTTGCATGTGGTATGAAGTATCACAATATAATAATGATACAAGTAGAACTTATTTTCAGGCTGACAATACAAATGCAGCATATCTCATGCAGAGAATTGAAAATGAATTTGCGAATATTCCTTTAGTTTCATGCACAGGCACATTATGCACTAAAATGTCCACTGACACTGTCACGTTCCCCTGGGAAATTTGCATGTCCGTGGCATTTAACATAGCGAGCGTCACAAACCCACAGCGATGTCAAAAAGTGTCAAAATTTCCATTGACAGTTGCTGAATTTTGACTGCCAGCCTCATATGGAACAGTTGTCCGGTCAAACCAAACGTGTTATTTTTGGTCACAATATCCCAAATTTCGTCGTTGTGCGCTTCTATCCGCAACTTTATACAATAGATTTAGGTTTCTTGATTGCATAGAAAAATTTGTAGTGTTTCATAATAAATTCGTAAGAAAATATATTCAAATATTAGTCAACTAAGAGCAGCAGAAGCAGCCCGTATAGAGTTTGAATTTTAACGACACCGACACTGTCTTGGTAAGGCCGTCGTCCGTAGCCACAAAATTGGCAACTTTGAGGTAAGCTGAAGCGATGAGATGCATCCAGCTGCCCCTTTATTTTAATACAAGAAGAGCTTTTCTCAGTGTTTATTTAATCAAGGGCATATTTTGAAACCGCATACATTAGGTGTTACTGTGTTAGTGTATGAGCAAGAGAAAGCTCTAACGAAATTTACTCTAAAGTTATGTACGCTATACAGTTTTCAATAAATTGAGGTTCGTACACCGGAAAGTCCGTCTCTCGAGCGAGTCATTTGAAACGATCCACTCAACTCCCAAATATATACGTAGTTGATCTCGCACACATGATATTTGTGTGCGTCTTCACGCTAAAGTTTTGCCAACCGTAAAGAAAATAAAAAGAGTTGTACATTTAACGGAAAAAATTGTGTTTGTTACGGTTAATGTAAACGGTTTACACTAGCAATAATAAATACTTTTCATGATGATCATAAGAGAAGTCTACGGACTATGCTCCTGATATTTAAGTATATTTTTTAAGTCACACTTAAAAAGGCCAATACGTTTCTTGATTTTTTCTCCACATTACTAGTTTAACGAGATATTTCTTCATAAGCATAAGAAAGCCCATTATGAATAACATAAGCAATACTGAAATGACAATTTAGTTGTGCAAGCTGCCACGTGAGAAACGCTTCTTTTGTTCATAAGCCTCCACATGTTCATCGTCTTCTAATTATCCAGGGTTAGGGTGACGTTGCTGGGCAACAAATGCTGGAGTTACATTCAGACTTGACGATAATTTTAAATAGAGTGTCGGTAATGATACAGACAATGTGCAAACTTGCTCCAACCTTGTGAACTTTAGTAATGAACATTGTTGCATCAACGACACAACTTAGGTTATAATTTTGAGTTCTAATCTTGAGTTGCTATCTAAAATATTGTAACATAGCAAAGCAAAACATTTTTTATCTAAAAATTTTATTCAACAATAAAAAATTATCTGACTTGATAATTTCATAAGTAGAACATGATGATGACCAAATTAACGGGTTTGTTTAGATAATCCCTGCGACTTTGTTCAGAATCCCATCTATCCGAATCAGGTTAAGAATAATAAAGTTAATATACACATGTATAATGATTATAGGAGAATCCGCTCAAACCCAAAATTTTGCAAAAAATCCCATTAGAGGCTTATTTTTTTAATTAAAAAATCTATATTTTACTTCTTGTAAATCGAATTTAGCTATAGCTCTCAATAAAATATCAATTTTTGATATAGTAATTTCCGCTAAGTTTTGCAATGCCTCAGTTATTCTCCCGCTCGAAAAATTTTTTAGGTCCAGGTAATATCCCGAAACGATAAGTATTCTTGTACACCTCTACATAATTGTCATATCAGGCTTCAAACACACAAACTTTGTCAAATATGTGTAAAATATGGTTTCTATAGCATAAGTGTTGTTACAACTAGTGTGTAATTGACATTAATATAAAATAGAATCATGTAACTCAGTAAAAAACAATAGACAATCTATATTCAGCCCTGATCCAGAATTTTAGTTAGATTATTTATATCGTAAACTATCAGGATTGGCCACGCCGTGCAGGTGCACTTATTAGAACATATTCCAATCATCTTATGGCGGCTAATTTCGTACCAAGTTCCCCGCGATTGTTCGAGCTGAGAGAGGAACCAAAAATGACAAGTGGGAGGGAACAGGACCTGAGAAATTCGTGTCCTGAGCTTACGTGTATTTTTCTCATGTAAGTTGCTGCGCGCTGGACAGAAAAGAGTAGTTTTTGAAGAGAGATCCTCTTAGCAGTTGTGTAGTCGGCACAAATGACGACAAACTTAACGCTCCTAGCGACTTAGCATTTAGACAAACAACTTCACGAGCACATACACTCGGCTCCCGTTGATATTCATAAAAAATGAACCTTGTTCAGCATAGTTGGTATTCATACACAAATTTTTAATTTTTCTGTTGAATAATCTCTTTTAGACAAAATTAGGTAACCTAGCTAGCTTGCATAGATAATTCCCAGCAATGCTCTTAACAGTTGCTCCGATAATTTAGTCCTCGCAATTGCTTGAAGATTTCATTCTTTTGTTTCTACGAAGCGTCAGTCTGAGTCAAAACAAGACTACCTCATTACTGGACGTCGTACAAACATTCATCTCATGTCGCTCACATATCAGCAGTGCTGACGTTCATCGTTCCAGCTAACGAGCGCTGCTTTACGCGCTGCATGAACATATTTCGACGTGGGTTTTGCTAATGATTGAAATGTTAAGTTTGGTTACCAATATTTTTTCATTGAAATGTTTTCAAATTCTTCAAAAGACTACCATGCATTACTGATTTATATTGGTAATAAGAGAGCAAAAACGTTCCTATTCATTAGACAAATAATCCTCCGCACAATATCGAATCTGGCACAAAAGCTGTACAAAATATGGAATCTGGCGCAAACCTGCGGACAATATCCAAATTTGTCACAAAACTAATACGGAATCAGCTGAAAATTTTCACTTAAGGAACTCTATGGTAAACCATGCACTGGCTTACCAAGGACAAAGGAAATTTTCCGTCATTGTTCGGATGTGGAATACAAAATTAGGATGCAACTATTTCAGTTATCAATATCTGGTCTAGATGCTGCAGTTAATAGTTTTATTTGCATTCACGTCATGTTTCAATGACAGGAAATTGTCCGAAACTTTTTCCCTCTTAATTGTGGAAAATAAATTAGAATTATTTTGTTTATGGATATCTGGCGGTATTGATTCATCTTGGTGTGCTTGTAATCAGGAGTGTGCATCAGTAGCATCATATGGTGGCCAGAGGTCGGCATTTCGTGGCGTCAAACTAAGATAATATGACCATTATTATCATTAAACTAAAATATATTGATCATTATTATCATTACCTAACTTTTGGCTATCATCTTGGTGTGCTGGTTGTTAGAAGAACGCATCAGTAGCATCATATGGTGTTCAGAGGCCTGCAGTTCGAGGCGTCAAGCTAAATATAATATGACCACTGTTATCGTCAAACTAAAATATATTGATCATTATTATCATTACCAATCTACTTGACTGTCATCCTGGTGTGCTGTTGGTCAGGAGGGCGCGTCGGAGGCCAGTCACGTGGTGGCCAGAGGCCTGCAGTTCGAGGCGTCCGGTCAGTACCGCTGCGAGGTGTCCGCTGAGGGACCGGAGTTCACCACTGTCATCGGTCACGGCACGATGCTGGTCCTGGGTCAGTGTCGGGCTTATGGAGTTTGATTTTTGAGACTTCGGGCCTGCACATAATATATATCACCTTCTAAACCCAGCTGGGATTTTGGTTTGTACGCTGCACTTTGAGACCAAATTGCGTATCTTTTTGTTTGCGTCTAAATGCGACACCGCCTCCAGCTGGTATGGCGGTAGAAGTCCTGGGTTTGCAATTTTTCAGCATAAAGCTGAACATTTCTGTTTGAGCAACTATATGTTATGTCATGTGTTTTTGATAATTAATGTATTTATTAATGATTTTTGGTATTCAATGGTAATGGAAATTATCCGTAATTGTTTGATCGCCTGAACTCAATAAATAAAACAGTCTCCTTACTGTCTGGTAGGAGCAAATATCTCAGTTCTAAAATGTAATAATATCAAAATGAATAATAACCCTGTTTCTGAGAAAACTTAATTCTCATTCTGGTCCTAATAAAAGCATAATAATATAATATGTAATAATGATAATATTTGTAAATAATAATATGAGTAATATTCTACTATCATTAGAACAATATTCGTGTGATGACAGATCCCCCTCGCTCGGGCCCCTCAGTGTCAGGTCTCCAGCAGGAGTCCAAGGTTAATGACTCGGTGGAGGTGACACTTTAATAACAATATAAGTAATATTCTAATATTATTATAATAATATTAGTGTGATGACAGATCCCCCTCGCTCGGGCCCCTCAGTGTCAGGTCTGCAGCAGGAGTACAAGGTTAATGACTCGGTGGAGGTGACATGTACGTCGTCCCCTTCACATCCCCCAGCACACCTTTCCTGGCTACTCAACGGCCGGCAAGTATGTATAGCATCAGCACTTAATTTATATAATTCAATTAGCTTAATTTCGACGAAATTTAATACTTTAATAGACAAAATCAATTGATCTTTCATAATTATTATTCCATTTATGTAGTGTCATTTTTCATTCTAGTAAATAGAATGAAATAGAAAAATGGTTAGTGTTAGTTCAATCAGCAAAGCTAAACTATTTGTAAGAAGTAATTTAGTTTTTCACATCATCTATAGGCAAAATGACTGATTTCGTGAACCAGAAACAATGCTACTCTTGCCTGCAGATGCTGGAACGAGAGAATTCTGACTCACACACAGAGCAAATAATGCACAGAGTTAACTGTTCAATGCAGAGCAAACTGTACAATGCAGAGCAAACTGTGCATTGCAGAGCAAACTGTGCAATGCAGAGCAAACTGTGCAGCGCAGAGCAAACTGTGCAATGCAGAGCAAACTGTGCAATGCAGAGCAAACTGTGCAATGTATCACGCTGAGCAAACTGCACAACGCTGAGCAAATTGTACAACGCTGAGCAAATTGTAAAACGCTAAACAGATTGTACCACTCTGACAAAACTGTGCAACGCTGAGCAAACTGTACAACGTGGATTCAGGCCTCGACGGTTCATTGAAGCCACGCAACATTTAGGATAAAAGAAACGACGTTTGATCCGCGGCGCAAGCGGTTTTTTCCGATCTTAAAACCAATGGCGGGATGACGCGACTGCTGTATTGACTACAGGTTGACATTAGCTAACTCGTTGCATCCAGTTCATCTATTTGCCACTTACAATACAAAATGCACCCAACATGGCTAAAAATATAAGATATAAATATTATACAAAAGCTCCATCAAGTTCGAGAATAAATAATTAACATATAATTGTCGCAAATCAACTAAGAGCGCAACTAAACTCGGGAAATGAGCTAATTTTAATTCAGGGCAGCGGTGGTATTAAATTCGGGTTTGTGTAGGTTCAGTCGTCTCTGAATTGCGCAATCAACTTATAAAAGCCGCAAATAGACTTGAAGCTCCACCAAAATCGAGAGGAATAAGTGCAATTCATTGAAAAATATCAATGACTATGTGGATTATTCATAATGAGGCATTCAAAATTTAGATGTTCTTATGTAATAATACCATAATATTCTATAATTATAAGAACGAAGAGAGCATTTTGATTAGGAACAAGTAAGTACTCAAACTGAACCTCATAATCATAACCTTGAATTTCATGTCCATGATGTAAAGCTAGTATTCCTATAATAAGTAATAATTGGCTTCTATTTATGAACGATTAATCAAAGTCTGGAATAGCTTCATACTTAAAAAAAAATTAAAAATTTGTCCGAATTGCGATGAATTTCTCGCCCTTGTCATAGTCATCCTTACCCAGTATGGCTGAGAGAAGGATGTACTAGTGCTACGCGCAAAAATGTATCACTGGGGTTGCCAAGTGGTTACAGTTTCAGACTTTAGAGTGCCACGACTAGAGCTGTAAGTAGTGGGTTCGATCCCAGCTTCCTGCTACAGTTCTGGTCAAATCAGCGAGGAAGCTGGGCGGATAAACAACGCAAAATTGGAATAGTGAGTTGCGTGTTCGAGACCTACAACAAGTTGTGAATGTTCTGCGAGGTTAAGAATCAGCGACTGGTCAAACGGCCTAATGAACGCTGACACTGCCATACTTTAATTATGACCCGTGAATTTTCAAGGTATCCGAGGAGGAGTCGGTTACGGTGAGCGATCCGCTGGAGCAGCCAGGCGGGTTGTTGGTGCGCGTCTCGAGCTTGCGGTTCACAGCTACGCAAGAACACTTCCAAGATGGCCGCCTCACCGTCAAATGCTTGGCATCTTTGGCTCCTCCTGGTTATCCCAGCGCTGCAAGTGACAGAGCATCCTGGCACTCAGCCGTTGGCACTGCCACTACTTCTGATAATAACATTTCTAACAAAAAAGGGAAACAACCTGTCCGCGACAAAGCAAAGTTCCTGGATAGTCGTCTGCTAGAGCAGCAGAAGCGCGCCATGATGCACTTTTTCTACACCTGGGAGACTTCAGTAACTGGTAAGTCTAAATAAATACGGAAACATAATAAAACATTAAATTAACGAAATCAAAATCACGTTCCATATTACGTAATCACGGTATTATGTTGTGTGATCTTAACAATGATTAACAACTTAAAAAGAAAGACAGTGCCAAGTAAATTCACCTAGTAATTTTCAATGAAACCAAATTTTGTTGAATTTAATTGGCACTTCATTTGCTTGCAATTCCCTGTCAATTAGCTTTTTGGGCAAAGTTATCAAATATATGTACTTCTTAACAATAATTGCGCTGGCGAACAGAATTATTCATATATAATTTTTAATTAATGTAATTTAATCGTCATATTCTAACAAAAGCATTCATATTGATCAACACTTTCTAACAAAAACATTCATACAAATAAACACTTTCCAATAAAAAATCCTTGTTTAATGCACTAACACTGGATTTGTATCGTGCAATCAAGTGTCGAGCGCCACGAGGCATCACTTCACTGCACAGCTTCTCGTGATGGCGACAGGGCTGCTCCTGTACTGCACGTCGTACTGAAGGATTATACAGCATCGAAAACCATAAATTCTTAAGAAATCATTTGATCATTTGGAAATTTGATCATTGAAATATAAGCTGATGGTTAGTGCGGAAAAATATGTAGTGTTGTTACGGCACATACTTCGACTGGACTGATGAGTGCGGAATACGAGAGTGCGCTGTGCAAGATCTACTGTGTGTATATAAAGCTTGGTCAATGTGGTGACGTTAAAATGTGACTAAAGTAGATGGAAAAGTTAGCTGAGAAAATCTGATTTATTGTGCGCCATAGTTTGGTTTAATGTAGAACGGATGTGGTAATATGTGCCAAAAGATATGTGGGATTGAAAGTAGCAGTGAAACGATCAACATATATATTTCCAGCGCAGGTACATACCAATATACATAATACAGGCGTGTGATAAATCAAGCTCAAGAGAGTTTCTGAGGTAAGATGTAATGCATTCATAGAGGCTATAGTTATTACATCGCGCTGGTGCTCTAAGTATCGTGAAGTATTAATGAAATGCATGAAATACGCGGAAATTCAACTTGTTCTCTTAAATTGCTATATATATGTTAATGAGTAATTACTGAATTGCAATAAAATACACTTAAGGCTTCTGTTACTGATGAGGTATACATTAAAGTCTTACTTAAATTTGAATACCAGTAGTTTATAGCATCACCCAAAGGGTTTGAAACGTTGAACAAATTAATAAGAAATTGTCGAATCAAGCGAAAGTTCGACATATAGCCGTAATTTGCAATAGCTTTTAATCAAGAGATTTCCTCTGTATAGGGCTTAAGATATTGTACTTACCTTATTATAAGGTGTTATTATTAAATAGTGAAAACGTGCATGGTTTATAATAGCATTTTATGAACACACTCTCAAATTACTATCGGCATCGCCACTGCAAATGGAATAGTTTCTAACTATTCCTTATACGCGTTGAAATTCGTTTGATAAATCCAGGTGCAACAAGTGTCCTGTCGCGAAGGAAATTTAAGCAACCTCAAAACGGACTACAATACAATACAACTATTCATTATTGTCGCATAAATTAGGTGAGCATGAGAAATCTTCGCTAGTACTAACGCAGTTGAATAATAAAATGTAGAAGTTAACAGTTATTACATATTACATAGAGTAATTAATGAAGCCAACTGTTGACTTCCAATTGCATGTTTCTGTAAGAGATAAAACCGAGTGACTGTGCTCGTTGTTGTACTTAGCACTTCGGTCATAATTTGTAAGAGCCAAGAAAGGCCTGGAATTATCAATTCTTATACGGTGTATTATAGTGTATACTTCTTTATTTGCTTAGAGCCGTACTATATAAAAAAAGAAGTTCGTAAATTTGTCTGCGATAGACCCACCAATCGCAGACGAGAAATCATCCGCTACGTGCACTTAGGCCGCTACGTGTGCTTAAATGAGGTTTGTTACTAAGGCCCAGGCTCATATGTGGCCGAGATCGATGTAAGAATTAATTGTTTCATCCTTTCAAAATTCAGAGACACTACACGCCAGAAAAGGGAGGGATTTTGTTCAAATAATGGATCACTTTTGATGCTGTGTGGGTCAATCTGACCCTGTTTGGCCGGTCGAAAGGATGTATAAGGGCTACGTCAGGCTGTCGGTATTTGGACTGTATGATCTATTCATTCCTTTGAGTGTATAACCTGTCATTGCTAAGTTGTACGTAGCGCTTATTTATACAAATTAACGGCACGGATGATTTATTTTATATAATAATGTGCCTAGCGTGTTTAAAGCTAAGAGATAAATAACGTGTTTTATATAATAACGTGTCATGGCGCTCACAAGTGAACTAACCTATCCAAGATCCTTCCTGAACATTGAGTTTTTTCAGCCTATACGAGTTTGCGGAGGAACCCTTAAATTGTACTGGATTTTCAACAGAACCCGCGATAATGATCGCATTTACAGTTGTAATTTTACTGTAGCATTAAGTAAGTCAGGGAATTTCCGATCAAAGCTTTTATTTAACAAAAGTCTTCGCTACGAAAGCTTATGAAGAAGCGACTGTAGATTATGTAACCTGGCGTTCAATAACATTTGAAATATTAATTACTGTATTCACCTATTTATAGTCGAAATTCAAAGAACAACTCATTCACCTAGTTTTGTGGAGCTCAATAAATATAAGAATAGAAACAATTTTATTAGTTTGAATAAACCTATCATGCGATAAAAAGTTATGAAGGAAATGCGTAATTTTGTATTAGATTGAGATTGTTATGCTGCATGAGCATTTCCAGTCATTCAATACTAAACGATTGATTTATCTCAAACAAGAGAGTTCAAGCTTCACTGTAATCTTCGCCCAATGCATGCGCATTTATTTGCGCCTAAATATGACGCTAAATATGACATCTCGGACAAATTTACGGCCGGACCCGCGGCCGGTCTCGCGGCCGCCGGACTCCAAACATAGAAAAAACCTCGCCAATCAACGAAAACCTCGCAGGTTAGGTTCAGTTAGGAACAGGTTCCATTAAAAACACAAAAACCCTAGAAAAACCCATGAAAACACTAAGAAAACCTTTCCGGCCGCGGGTCCGGCCGTAAATTTGTCCGAGACCTCTAAATATGGACCGAGGATAAATTGTAAAATTGACCACCACAGTGAAAATATGTGTAAGGTGTTCCAGAAGATAATTTAATATGAATCGTGTGCATGCATAGTGCGTTTTACGTATGTATTTGATAAAAAAATGTTCAGTTAAACCTCATCAAAATGTTGGTTTGGTCTCAAAAGGTTCCGTCAAACCTCATCAAAATGTTTTCAATGCGCAACACTAAGCAGCTCAAGCCACGGCAACACGACACGCAGGTGTCGCATCGGAGGCTGTGAGCGAGGCGCTTACCGCAACTTAGTGACAAGCCCGCCCTTCTTTTCGGTTAGAGTTACGCGTCAACGGACGCTAATTTAGTTAGAGGTTTAGTGTCTCGTAATGAACTTCTCTACTGTTTAGAATTATTCGAGGATTTGGTGCTGAGGATTACTTGTGAACAGAACGTCGCTGTTTCGGGAAGTTCGGGAAGTTACCAGCAACTTACACGTTTTTCTTCCTTTCTTGACAGCATTATTTTTTTCCGTTTTTAAATCGAAGCTTTTAGTTGCAACGCATGATCAAGATGTTCATGCGAATTGGAGGGAGATCAACCTTTTTTTGGTCCGGACTGCTTGTAGGGTACATAGAATATTTTTTAATTAACCAAATTTATTACTAATTGCTTCTGAAGAGTGTAGGTTCTCACTTTCCGTGCGAAGTGCATTATATATTTTATTCACCAGCTCCTAGGATAGCTAGGATTTTCCATTTTCTATAAATTTAATTTTTCATGATACTATACTATAGGTGTTAATAATCATACAAAATTTAATTGAACGATAATTTTATTCACAAAATGTACTTTTAGTAGAAGGAAAATAATAGAAAATAAATATTGTACATATACAGTCAGATGGAAAGATTTTTGTCAGTTTAATAGGCACGCAGATAGTCAGGTCGACGGCTTCCACAAAAAAAAATACAACTCAGTACTCACTGCAGTGAGTGATAGAGAGCGCTTTTTCTCGTCGACGAAAACGTGAAGTCACGGACAGACGGAAGGTCAGACAGACGGACATGACGAGCACAATAGGGCATTTTTTCAATAAATGAGAAAATGCGCTATAAATGGATTTCATTTACGTTAAAAGCTGCTGATGTTTTCTCCACACTGTATTTAGGAACAAAAAGTACTAACCAGGAATAAATTTAAATTACTCACTCAATCTACGCTCGTTGATGCGAAGCATAATGCATATTCAAAAAGCAATCATTGCCGTCCGTTCCATACGCAGTTTTCTGCATGAATTAAGCTGGAAAAACGTTTTGAGAAAATCTTACACTTAACCAAGGGAAATGAGCATTGGTTAAAAAATTGGCAGTATTGGGAAAAGGTGTGAAAAGAGAAAAAACGAGCGAATTCTGACGTGAATTAAATGACATAATTACGTCAATTATATACGAGCTTCTCTGATGCCCGGCTATAGAGAACATGATCATGAGTATGAAAAATTATCCGTCGCAAGAAAAAGTCTAATTCTAAAGTCACGTTGAGGGAGAATTGAATTCTGACGTACATGAAATGAATGACAATTTTAAGCAGATTCATCCTCATAATGCATGACATGATCCTCGATTGCCGGGCTCGGAGCGTCGTGCTGCTGTTCATCATAGCCTGGCTGGTCGTCGTACTCGAGATCCAGCTCGGCGTGGGGAACGTCGCTGCTGAAGCGCTCAAGTGTCGGCGACAGCAAGTCCGTGCGGGGACTAGGGGACTGGAAAGATCGTCGAGGATCGGTAATATTTGCAGGATCGGTGTTGGCATTGAGAACAATTCTGCTGATGTTCGGGCCGAGCTGGTGGGAGTCTCGGGTAGGTGAAAAGACGTCAGGTGACTTGAGGCGGCCTTGTGACGTCTTCTTGCGAGGGAGCTTGACAGGGCGGAGGTAAGGGTTGTCGGCGATGTCCACCTCTGTTATTTCAGGCATTGCCTTCAATTCCTGTTGCGAAGAAAGAAGAATGCAAGATCATTGATAGGTATTAAATTAACAAAACAAGCCTATATTATAACGTCGTATGTATCAGATCATTGTATGACTTGATAGCTAAAGGCATATTTCCAGTAAATCCATTGATAATGGGAAAATATTCAAGAAAAACGTGATCATGACTCAAATAAAATATAAAAACTGGCACTTAAAGCTTACATAAAAAGTCGACGCAAAATCTCTACTAAGATGCAATTATTATGAATATATAATGACTAATAATAATAATATATAATGAAAGAACGTCTACAAATTATTATAGTTTTAAGTTTCAATATTACATCAGCAAGCAAATAATATCATAAGAATATCAACTATTTGATGCCAAAGAATTTAATTTCTTCAATAGAGACATAGCTGGACTGGAGAGATCCGATACAAAAAATAGAGAGCAGAAAGAAATCAGCATTTTATACTTATTTTTCTAGAAATTTTAATTTCAACCTGTGATTACTGCCGTTAATTCACATGGTAAGATTGAGTTCAAGCTCTGTCAATGTTACTGCATAGTTTAATTATGTAAGCTGATATAAAACTGATACTCGTAGCCTTCATGACCGAAATATAAGCAACGTACCTGTTCAGGCTCCCCCTGTTCATTTTTGAGCTGTTGTTGTTGCTGTTGATGGTGCAGGCGGTCGAGGCGACGACGGCGCGCTCTCGCTACCGTGCAGTCGTGTTCAGCCTCGAACACCTGATCTCTGGGCATCAGGGCATCCATGTTCTGAGTGAGGCTCGGCGCCACGCAGATCACTGTGTGGTAAAGGAATGCTCTTACATCAACACTATTACATACATTGAATCAACGCAAATCCCTACAAAGATCATAAGTAAAGCTCTTATGGCAACATTATTACATTATATTTAATTCACGCAGATCACCACAAAAATGGGTAGGAAAGTTTTTATGGAAACATCATTACATAACATTTAATCCAGGACAACAACAATGCCAACATCAAAATGAAAGCTCTTACAGCAACATTATTAAATTGAATTTAATTGAGTACTTAATGTATTTCAGGATAATTTGAGTTGTAGAAGTGCAATAGCTTTCAAACAAAATACAGTAGAACCTATATTGGATTCTTTTGAGTCTGTTTTAGTGGCAAAAGTTACCACAAAATTTACACCTAAAACATAATGTAAAAAGTAGTTTGATTCATCAGAGGTTGCAGTAGGTGTAGTTCCCCTCAGTGTGTATCTCACAGTATCACAGTAGCGATACCATGAGTAATGCAGAAACGTTGTAAGCATTTAGGCAAGAACGACATATAAAAAAGACTCACAGGCGAATTCTCTGTCATCAGCAATGAAGAGACTTTCTGTGGGATTTGTTTTGGTCCCAAATTTGGTGAGTGCTTTCTCAATATCGCGCTTCTGTGTAGCTGCCTTCTCTCGAATTGCCTCATACTCCGTTACTGGCTGCTTAACTGTTGGTGTGAAACTGAAAAAAACAGGTCTTAGGACTCTTCTTAGAGGCTAAGGTATGTACACAATATCACACAATAGTCAGATTTGTATTATAGACACCAGTGCTGCACAAAATGGTTTTGAATGAAACTTATGCACAAAAACTCACCAATAGGTATGTGTGTCAGGAAAAGGTGGCAAATTGTCAGGTATGTATCCAAAATGAGGCTTCTTATCGCCAACCTGCTCAGAAAGACAGCTTCACAGTCTATAGTCAAATTAAAGTGTTGTTTCATATTAACAGATTTGAAAATGTCTGGATAAACAGGCAAACAAAATAGCAGAATGCAAAATCTTTGACAAAAATGTATCAGCTGGAAACTACTTGAAGAAGTTCTGAGCAAAGAAGACAAACAGTTCATACATACAAAATAAGGCAAAAGGTAGAAATAAGTTGAAGATCCAAACTGCTACTGCTATATGAGACCAACCTGTAAAATGGAGTGACTTTTGTTGTCTTGTTGGACAGAAGAAGGAGGTACTACACTGCGGCCAACCCTTCGAGAATAGGCCTGGAAACAAAATATCAACTCAAATATGCTTTTACATTTTTCATCTTAAAAATGTTAAAATGAGAAAATAACAATTGTAGCTTTTGCATTAAAAAGAAATGATGAACAAAAAGACAGTATATATTTATTAACGAATACAAAATTTAAATGTCAACCATGTCATAACTGTCTGATTTCAAAGATGGCAATATAATCACAACTGTCTGATTTCCAGATGGGAACATCATTTATTTTTGATAAATATTTATAAAAAGGGATTTTAATTCGATACCATATATTGCCTTACCTGCAAGCCATCATAATTGATGCCCATGTCAGCAAATGCAAGAACAATATCAGCCACAACAGGTTGAGTCCTGTAAGCCAGCTCACTATATCCTCGTGCAGTCCGGCCAACCTCAACCAGAGCTAAAAAAAATAATTTGATTATATGAACACATTTTAGACATAAAATTGTCTAAATTATAAAATAAATGAACTAAATTTCAGAGGCTAAGAGTACTAGAGTAGAATTAAAGTCTACTCACTTTATTGTCAAAAAAAGCTCATTTGACTGTTTGATGGGAACTGAAAGCAAGTACCTATGCCACGTCACTGAGATTAGGTTTTTATGCCTAAAGTGTTGCCACTTGCCAGTATTACCGATGTCGAGGTCCAAAGATTTGTTGACAGAACTAGCAAAACCATCCAAATTTAATGTAAAAATTATATTTAAATGAATATTTTGAGACTATTATGCCAGCAATATCTATTTAGATGCTAATGTTAATATGTTTGGCCCATTCTCTGGTCTCTGCAACCTGATGTGCAGAGACATGAGCAAATATCTGAGGTCTGAGGATCTTTACTTAGGCAACATTTCAGCAGCAAAATCAGCATTTTCATAAAATCTTGCTTATACATTCCTTAATAAATATCTATTTGAATGCATTTTGGCCAAATTATGAAGGTTTAGATTTTAGGGACTGGTAATAAATCCTGAATAATACTAGGAACATTTAGGACCTAAAATCCTTATCTTGGCATCACAGTTACCTAATTTTTCACAGTGGTGTCAGGTGTGAGCTTGCAATACCTAACTAGAAAATTGGGCAGTAGCCATCCCAAAATTGGACAAAAACACCTGGGAATCTGGCCCATTTTACCTGTTTCTCTAGCCTTTTCCCTATTTATTTGATGAAAATTAAGAGAAATGGCCTATTTCTACATGCAATTTGTATAAATAAAAAATGAAAGTTAACAATATAGAGGTATCTGCAATTTCAAGAAACTTAGGCCTAATATTAGAAATCGTTATAATGGAACATAGCAACAAAAACTTCAATATTTAAGAAAAAAGTCAAACAGTTTAAAATTACTGAATAAAAATATACTAATTAAGTACCACCTTAACTCTGTAGCTATAACCTATATAAGTGCAAAAACCTCTCTAACCTTTTTTTTAAACCTTAACAACTTGATAACATTGCAATACTAGATCATTTCATGAATATTTTACCACAGGGCACAGATTTTACTGACATTTCAACAATTAAATATAATACTTAGTACTTACTGCTCTGCAAAATCTCGACTAGCGTGCCGAGCGCACACTTGTCCACAGTAACAAATCCAGCTTCTTGTAGTAAACAAGCTACAACAACACTCAGTTCACGGCGATGGGCCGCTGCAGTTTCATTGGATGAAGATACACCCGGAGGGCTGCTCCCACCATTGCTAGCTAACGTAGGAGTGTTCATTCTAGATGTATGTAACTTTAAAAAGAAGTGGGATGAACTAGGAAAACGTAGGTTAGTGGTAGTACAATCACTACAATGATTAACCAAGCTACCGTAGCTTTACTTAGAGTTTGGCTAATGACATGTGTGTGTGTGTGTGCTTTGTTGAAGGTGAAGAGATGACCTCACGCAGGCCGACTGTCACACCTGGACATGGCATTAATTGCTGGCTTTCCAAATTTTTCCACTTGCAGCCACAGTCAAATTTTTCTTGCTTGTAGGAGGTGGCTGTTATTTCAGGATTTTCCTGGTATTATTTTCAGATACCGTAAATTTGTCCGAGACATCGTTTTATCCAAGTCGCAGCACTCAATTTCTCGAAACGTTTAATTATTTGAGAATATACTATAGACCGAAATTCCATATGCCTCGCTAATGGTTGGTAGTGTCATGTAAAAGAATATGTGACTCATCAATTTTTGTGATTGATACACTTTAAAAACCATCAACGTAACATAAAAACTCTGTTTACGTGGCTCAGTGCTGACAGGCGGAAAAGAGTTACGATTTACCGGGACGACACTGCTTGTAATAGTTCTTCCGTTATAAAGTAGGTATTGGCTAGAAATAGTGGTTTACGAGCATTCATTTTTAATAAAATAACTGTGATGAATATCAATTGTGTGTTTCATTATGATTAGGGCCGCAAATAACATCGGAAAGAACATGGCAAACTTGTTTAATAGGTACCTAATCTGTCTTGCCTTGCCAATTGCAATAGTGAATAGTAGGCCTACTGATCATAGCTAGTCACAACTCACGACACAAGAGAGTGTCTAAGCAGAGACTTTTTAGACTCTTCAGTCTCTTGCTCAAGTTCATTTTTACAATAGGTCTCTTTAGCTTCACTTCTTGTTGTTTAAAATTGTTTGTCTGCTACAAATCTTATAATTACAACACTTCTCTTTAACTTCACTTCTTGTTTGTCTGTCTGCTTAGGTACTCTGCTACAAATCTTATAATCAAAATTTGACACACTTCTTTACTTCTACTTATCCTATTGATCTGAAAATTTGCACACTTGTGTAAAGTTGGAGACAATGCATGAATCAAATGTCAAAATAGGCCTAAATGATTTTAAAAATTAAAAAAAAAAATTTCAATATGAAAAAAATTGAAAAAATAATTTTGTCAGCTACAAATCTTATAACTGATATTTGACACACTTTTACCTGTCTAATTGATCTGAAATTTTGCAAACTTGACCTTGCCAATTGCAATAGTAGGTACCTTACCGTACCTAGGTTAGGCTAGGTAGGCCTACTGATCATAGTCACAACTCACGACACAAGAGAGTGTCAAAGCAGAGACTTTTTAGACTCTTCAGTCTCTTGCTCAAGTTCATTTTTACAATAGGTCTCTTTAGACTTTAGCTTCACTTCTTGTTGTTTAATTGTTTGTCTGCTACAAATCTTATAATTAGGTACAACAGTGCTCTAGAAGTGTGTTAAATCCTATTAAAATAATATAAGTTTAAAAATTACTTTTTAAAGACAACACTTCCTGGCTTCCAAAGAATCCAGTATCTCCAATCTTACAGACAGATGTAGCTACAATGAATTTTTCATCTCCTAATTTTCGAATATTGAAAAAAAATTATTTTTACATTTTTTTAATAGGCTATACCTATATAAATTTTTTTAATATATAAATTTTTCCAAAATTATTTTCTCTATTAATTGATTCATGCATTGCCTTTCTGACTTCACATAAGTGGGCAAAATTTCAGATCAATTAGACAGGTAGGTAGCCTAAAAGTGTGTCCTATCAGTTATAAGATTTGTAGCTGACAAAATTATTTTTTCAATTTTTTTCATATTGGAAATTTTTTTTTAATTTATAAAATCATTTATTTTGACATTTGATTCATGCATTGTCTCCAACTTTACACAAGTGTGCAAATTTTCAGATCGATAGGATAAGTAGAAGTGTGTCAAATTTTGATTAGCTTAGCCTATATTGACCTATATAAGATTTGTAGCAGACAGACAGACAAACAGACAAACAACTTGAAGAAGTGAAGTTGAAGAGAAGTGTTGTTAGTAGAGCTGTGTCAGTCCAGTGTCTGTGTATGTCTAATTCCATTTCCAAGCTGTGTCGGAATTAGTTTTTATGTGTCTAAAAGCCAAGGGATCATGGATACCTCATACCATGATACCAGTATCATCATGTATAAGATATTGGTTTAAACCTTGAGTAAATGACAAAATTAAAAATGAACTGATTCTAAAAAATCTCTGGTTTGCCACTTAGGTAGCAAAGTGAGCTCTGCCTCTAGGCTGCAGCCTCCTGCCTAGGCCTGCTAACTAAGTTCTAACCATCAATGCCATTATGCCACTCAACCACTGTGCCACATAAGTCTTGAAGTCTCCACTTAGTCAATTCTACTCATACCTTGTTGCTTGCTGCTTGTCTGTTGTCACTAAAAGTCATATAATACTAGTCAGAACTATGATTTGTTGGGTTTGATTAACTTCAATACAATCATTCATAGCATACCAACATCATCATGATAGTGAATTATGATGATTGATGACTACAATGCTGTTTTGAGCACTAGAGAGATGTGATTTAGTTTTGTTTGTAAATTAGAGCATTGGGTGCTCAGTGGCTAGAGTTTGGAGTGCAAGAATGGAGCAGGGAGGTGCGGGTTCAATCCCAATTCCCAACTCTGTATGTCAGTTTCTGGTCAGAATCTGCAGGGAAGCTGGGTGGTTGAGCACAGAATAATTGGTGCAGTGAGTTCCATGTTTGAAACCGCTACAAGCCATAAATGTTCTGCGCCATTAATATTTGGTGACAAGCTTAATGGAATAATAAATGCTGAAACCACTATTACATTACATTACATTATTTCTATTGGACAATTGGAGGCTGTGCATTTGAGTAATGTGGCAACTGGCAAACTGGCATCATTGTCAGCATAAATCAAGAGGTGGAATTTTTTTACTGGGCACTGTGACTGTTTTACTGGTAGTGGTACTGGTACAAATGCTTATTTTCTGGGTACTTTATCAAATAAATATAGGTATTCATATATAAACATTTTTTATTATCAGCCAAGTTGTCAAGATTTAATTGAGACTGATTAATATAACTTCAGTTATTTACTTGTGTTGTCTTAGAGTAAGAAAAATATACAGCATTTTTAAATGATACTATCAATATATCAACTATCAAGTGACTGAAACCCTTATTAAACTCTCTTAAAAAGGCCTCATTAATTTAAAAGAAATTGATTTGGAATTTTTCAATTTATTTTATTTATTTACATTTTCTTTACATACATTAAGAAGCTATGAGTGTTGTTGAGGGTATAACTGATCAAGCAGAAGAAGCCATCACTGAAGCTGCTGTGGCAGACAATGTGCCTGATGAAGAGGTCCAAGAGGATAATGTTGAAGGGAACATCCAAGAAGAAGATTTACATGTCCAAGAAACAGATGAGGAGGAGGAAGAAAGTGCATTTGATGTGCTAGCTAAATTTAGTAAGGAGTTCCTAGATGTACTTGGTCATGCAAATGAGCCATTGTCTGAAGATGAGAGGAAGTGCAAGCCCCTAGCTACCACCCCCAGACATTATTCTGATGTACTGCGCCTCCTCCAGGTTTGTTTAAGTTTAAATTAAATCTTGAAGCTGTTGAATCCATTAGGATATTAATTGAACATAACCTTGTTAAGTATTTCTAATAATCCTTAGAATGTACATTGTGTATTGTTATTGCAGCCTTGCAGGTACATAATATTTTGCAAAAAAGAAAAATAATATTTATGCTTCACCTGATATTTACTTAATTGAATAAAAGTGAACTTATTGCTTCTAAATACTGCCTAATTAATTATTGAGTTTGGGCAATATTTCCCACATTTCATTGTTATTTTGAAACCGTATGCCTCATAGTAAGTAATCATTTATTGCATAAATTTGTGAATTAAACTGCTCTACAATGTCTTCATCTATTCCAGGACCTGATACAGTATGACCAATCTGAGCCTGACATCACTTACAGTATTGAATTACCTGATACCATCAGCCGCATCAGTATTACAAGCCACATCTTATCAGCTGCACTCACCACTCTTCATCCTCAACAACTGCGTCGCCTTGCAACACGTCTCCTCTCGGACACTTCTCTTTGGGTCACTCGTCTCTTCAGGTAAGTTTGTGTTCATTTGATAAATAATGTGTATCTTAGGCTCAGTTTTTTCATTGAGTAATTGACACCTTGAGATATTGGTATTTATATAAGATGTATCTTGGCAACTGAAAAGCTATCAATACACTAGTGTAAGCATTTTCCTTGATGCAGAAAATTTGAAAGTGCCACATGCATCACTGAAGACCAACGTGAGGGTGTTGTGCGAGTTGGCCGCATGTTGCTTCACAGCAAATATCCTCGCTATGCAACAGACGGGCACCTCACCCTATATGCTCGACCTCCCTTAATCTATGTGGCTGCAACAGCTCATTCCAGTCTGCCCATGCATCTTGCCACTGCTGTGAGATATCCGCCATTATTACATTTTTAGATATATTTTTAATCTATTGAGTATTTATTTGGAACCTTTGGAAGACATTTCATTGGTAACTGTAGACCCTTCATGAGATGTCTAAAACAATCTTCTAGGAACAAGCTAATTTATTGCTCAGTAATATCTTGGTGTTGGTTTCCTTATGCAAAAGTTTTTTTTTTTTAATATGAGCCTTTTTCACTGTATGAATTGTGGTAATGTTATTTATTGTAACTCCTGACATTACAGTTGGGCCTGGGAGGTGGGAGTGTGCGGGTAGTGCCATGCAATACTGTGGTTGGCTCTCCTGTAGCTATGGATACTGCTGCCCTGGACCGCATGCTTGCTGCGGACCTTGCTGCTCAGAAGAAACCATTAATGGTTATCGCCAATGTTGGTGAGTTGTTCTGTCCCTGCTAAGTCTTCTAAGCATTATTTTGGTTTGTGTGTATTCTATCACACGAGTATCTTAGGAATCCTAATCATTATATACTTTAATTAACTTGAAATTCTTTGCACATATTTTTTTTCAATTCTTCGGAAGTGGATGTATTTCACTTGATATTATGTTGTGTAGCATTTCAATATACTCTACATTATACAATATAAGTTACTAATGCATTAAGATTTGCGCCATGATACTATATCCTTTGTCATCCAGCATTTAGGGCACTGTTGGTTTTACAATTGGTTGATGCTAGTGGGTCAGCATACAAACTAATGGAAAATTACTTGGACTGTGTGAAAAATACGCACATAGAAAGTTTTCTCAAGTGATAGCCTTGTCACGTTGATGTTTTGTCTGATGATGATATGTATATTGCAGATTCTCTCATGAAATAAACTGTTAATTATTTGTACTCCAGGTGGTGGCGTGCTAGGCGGTGTTGACAATGTCACCAGGATCCAGGAGGTGTGTCAGAGTCACGATGTTTGGCTGCACGTGGAAGGCCACAATCTCGCTGCTCTCACTCTTCCCAACTCACCAAATCTGGTCAGTATTATTCCATTATTTGTGATGGGATCTCCACACACCTCAGATCCTGACATTATTCAGGAAATTTGCATATTTTCCTCCCTGTTCTTTCTCCATACTTGCTTGCTGGAAGGAATTGAAAAAAATTTAAATTCTAAACAGTTCGTTGATTGAACTACTTTAAATCTTTTTCCTATAAATTTCAATTTTTGTCACCAATCTTTTTGTGTCACTTTCTTTAGATTAGATGACTGCTCATAAAACATGGACCCATTCAACATTTCTCACGTCTCAAAACTGAACTCTTGACTATGCATATCGTGTATAATAATGAAATTAACCAAACATTATCTTCACAACGTTGAATTTGGTACTCTTTTATCATATGCAGCCTGCAAGTGTAGGAGACAGCATGATGCTGCCCCTGGGTACGTGGCTGGGGGTGCCGGGTCTGCCATTTGTGACGGTGTACCGCGTGCTGGAGGATCGTTGTGTCCACGCAGCAGGCCTCACTGCACTTAACATGCATGTCAGAGTGGACACGCTGCAGCTCTGGATTACTCTCATGGTTTGTGCTCAAGTCACTACGTGAGGGCTGTGAAATTTATTTATTTTTTTCAGATCAGTCATCTGAAACTTGTTAATAAATGGTGGACAAAACCTTGAGGAACGAGCCTGGAATAATTCGAAGGTAAAAAACATGAATGGAATCGAGACTGGGAGAATTTTTTATTTATTTTAAAGTCGCAAGATGGTAGCAATTGCCATCAACCACAAGAAATTGCTCTGTGCTGCCTAATTGCGGGAGCGGCTACTCTTCAACGCGCGTGAAGAGGCATAGGAGCAGCAACTTGCTCCCGCGTCTGACCAACCCATAAGTTCTGAAGAATTAAAAACGATGATTAGGCACGGCACAAAATTAGCTCTCAAGATAAAAGTAAAATGCTCAATGCGGTAAAAGGTCATCACAAACAAAAGTTTGCAAACCATAGCAGAAAGTATGTTCAAAGTATGTCAAATGTTCACGTTTAAACTACCTCATGCATCACCCAACGTTGGGCACAGAGCAAGCAGTAATGAAGCTATGACATGAAAATTTTCAACTGTACTCAAAATTTTTGAAAACTAGATCTCAGTTTTGTTTAAATGGAAATGTTGGAGATGAAGCTATTACTCAAACCGTTGTTGTTGAACTTTATGTCACTGAAATATTTCAGTGAGCAGCTGTAGGTATAGGATTTCTAGCAATTTATCGATCGTTGATGCAAAGTCATTTCATGCGCTAGAGTTAATAGACCAATCACTGCGGAATGGTTTAACTTTAATTAGAACTCTTTGGGGATACTGGATTTTCAGTGTACTGCATGTGAAATTTTTACATGCAAAGCTAGCTACTAACGTCCTTATATTCAGTACTGGTAAATAAAGCTTGCCTTGTGCAGGCTTTAATGTATATTTGCTCAATGAACTTCATTGTACTTTATCTAAAATATTGATATAAAACTATTTCAATATCAAAAACTCGGCTTGAATGACCTGCTGTAGTGCTTATAGTCCCGTACTATTCTACATTTTCATTATAATGCAACCTTTACTCAGAGGGTCGATGGATGATAAAAACATAACTGTATTAATTAGCCAACAAAAAATATAAGAAATGACATGAAATTGTTAGATAGATAGATAGATATATCTCGTTTAAAGTACATGATAGATGGAATATTCATCATAAGAAGTAATAATAACTAAAATCTATATTAATAGTAATATGATAACGTAAATAATAAAATAATATCTAAACTAATAAGAACTTGGATATAATCGAGAAACTTACGACCGAGCAAAATCAATTGCTGACTACTACGCCCTAGTGCCCTAGTATCAGTTGCTTGGAAGGCAGCCCATGCTATCAAACAATTTAACAAAGGAAGCGATTTAATTTGTGGTATACAGAGCCTGGGCAGCAGCGGTGTTTCAGGACGCATTCGGCTAGCGTTTGAGCTGGGCCAGCAACTGCAGCACTACCTCGCTGACGTGCCACGGGTGCGACTGCTGGTGAGTTCTGACACACTGGTTCTTCTGAGAGACATGTTTTCATGTTCTGAGAGACATGTTCTGGTTCTTTTGAGACACATGTTCTGGTTCTTTTGAGAGACATGTTCTGGTTCTTCTGAGAGACATGTTCTGGTTCTTCTGAGAGACATGTTCTGGTTCTTTTGAGAGACATATTCTGGTTCTTCTGAGAGACATATTCCTGTTCTTCTGAGAGACATGTTCTGGTTCTTCTGAGAGACATGTTCTGGTTCTTCTAAGAGAAATGTTCTGGTTCTTTTGAGATACATGTTCTGGTTCTTTTGAGATACATGTTCTGGTTCTTCTGAGAGACATATTCTGGTTCTTCTGAGAGACATGTTCTCATGTTCTGAGAGACATGTTCTGGTTCTTTTGAGACACATGTTCTGGATCTTTTGAGAGACATATTCTGGTTCTTTTGGGAGACATGTTCTGGTTCTTTTAAGATGCATGTTCTCATGTTCTGAGCTGAGTATGATAGTTTGTTAATGATATCTGTGTGATATTATGATTCGAATGGTATATTTCAACAGGATTTAAAGAATTTCCTAATTACTCTTAAGATGGATTTGAGAAATTAGTTCATGTATTTGATAATAGTTGCCATGGATGTTGTTAATGTATTCTAATTACAATAATGTGTAATTACAATGCATTTCCTAACAATATTTGACCCTGCAGATGCTTTTCCTTGTTTAATTTGTTGATTATTTTATTTGTGCAAATTATTCATGGGTCATCAGAAGCAGCAGTCAATATCATTTTATAACCGCCAGAGCCCTCGTCCCGCTGACAGCGCCCCTCATGTCACCATCGCTGACCTCATCAGCCGTCCCTCCAGCACTGCAGTGAGTGTTCTGCTGACGCTGTTGTGCTGACGAGGAAAATTACTCTCTCATAAGGCTGAATAATGATTGCTTTGTCTCATTATGACGGCACGCAATACGTGATGACGCAGTGAAACTCTTGAATAGACTCCTAATTACGTTGGTACCTCGCGTGTACAATGGGATACTGCATTATTCATGATTTTTCTCTCTAAACCTAACTCTTTTTAATGTCAGTTCACTCACTAGTATTGCTTGTGTTCAGTACGATGATCTGCTGCCAGATTTAGGGTATATTTTCAAATTAACTTCCAGTTCATAATGTCATAGTTTAACATCAATTTAATCATCACGCAATTAAAAAGATGCCCTGATCGGCATGATGGCCGAACAAACCAAGATGGCAGATCGGTTCCGGAACAGTAACGGTTGCCACAGTCAGATTTAATGGCACGGCCTTCAACGTTAATAGATCCTCAAAGCGTAGTCCTCCTAGTGAAAAAAACATGATTATGAAGATTTGCGACGTAGTTTCCAAACACGAGAGTAATAAATTTATACACTGCCGTATGTTGTAAACGTAGCACAGCAGCACACGTTCGCCTCCAGCCACAGCCGGCGCATGACAATACCTGCTACTATAATAACTTGCTACTATAATAAATGATTAATTTCACCTTAGTTATGCAATTGTAAGGCGTTAGCACTGCAATTGCAATACTTTCTAATTAATTGTACTTAAAATTCCAGCAATTGCTGGAGACTGTGTGCGGAACTGTAGTCTTCCAGTACGTGCCTGATGGTCTCGAGGACGGCAAGAATTCCGAGTATTACGACAACCTCAACTCTTGGGTGAGTGTTAAGCGCCCATGACGTAGGTTGTTAGCATTGCAGCTCCTAATGTAGCGACAAACTTAAGTCTTAAGATCATTTATGGAGAAAAAATGGCTACTTTGAGTGTTTTTAGCACATTTTCTCATTTATGGAAAAAAGGCGCCATTGTGCTCGTCATGTCTGTCCGTGACTCGCTCGTCATGTCTGTCCGTGACTCGCTCGTCATGTCCGTCCGTGACTTCATGTTTTCGTCGACGAGAAAATGCGCTCTCTGTCACTCAATGCAGTGAGTACTGAGTTAAATTTTTTCTTATGTCAGTCTTGTTTTATTTTTGAGATCAATTTGGCTTCAACTTTCCCTGATTGAGTATCGCCAGTTTCGTTCATAAATGATTAACTGATTTCCTTTCTATTAAATTACATCTAGAATCGATAAAATTTTGAGGGTTGACTGAGTAGTCATGCCGTGTTACTAATTCTATAAATACAGTTATGCTCATTGTTTCACACGTGTGCTCAATATTTCACGCGCGTGCTCTATGTATATCTTAAATTTGATAAACTGTTTTTATTTCAAAAACATTGATTCAGAATCTGTCGTGTTTCTGGCAGGCATTCAATAGCAATACCGTGTGGATCTCAAATTGGTATTCTTCTGCATTGTTTTCATCAGCTGTGTCAAGTGGTCCGCCGGGAGGTGGGCGGCTACATCCCCCTGGAGCTGGTCTCCATTGAAGGCGCTGGCTACGTCCTCCGCTGGTCGCCGCTAGAAGGGCCCTTCACTCACCACCTCTCGCCGCCTGCCCTCGAGGAGCTCATTCAGTGCCTCGACCAGCAGATTGTGAGTCGCTCGTTCCTGTTGTTAGCACTACGTACTGGCTACTGCTGGTGGTTGTTTGGTAATCTTTGCTAGTTACGTGCTGTTCAGTGCTCACCAAGCGCCTGCACCGCTGTGGCCGTAATATCAAAGCTCACTCAAGTGCAGGTAGCTGCCAACGTACACTTAGTGGCCGAAGTAACAGATCCTCATGTCGTGATTTACACTCTTAGCAACTGGATGGCATTGGCCAATTCTTTGCTGTTCAGAAAAATTTATATATTATTTTCCTGACGCTGAGAGTTACATTGTTAGATATTGTTGATTACCCTAGCATACCTAAGGTTGATTCCATAGCTTATGCTGAATTTTGTTCTCAGGATATCCTGAATGCGACGGTAAAGCAACGCGAGGTCTTCAATGAGCTTGTGGGGCAGTCTGAAAACCTGCAGCTTGCGGAGATCCCGCAATGGGCGGGCCTTGGGGGGGTGCGCTACATTCCTGACGTGTGGCTCGCTCAGGGCGCGCTGCCAGACTCTGCTAAGGAAGACGTCAACTTCCTCAACTCGCACCTCGTCGAGCAGCTCAAGACCACTGACTCGGCTTTCTCGCTCGGTCCGTTCCTCTTGCGTAATCAGAACATGTATATCTTTTATGTTTGCTAATGAATATGTATTTCTCTAATCTATTCACACTGGTTTTTAGATACTCGTTCTATAAATACAGAAGTACAAATTAATTTCTGCTTTCAATTGTATTGAGATGTATTTGTTATTACACATTTGTTTAATAACATTACATACTACAACAACATAACACGATGCAACAACATTACACGCGCAATTGTTCAATTGTGTGATATAAATTAATACCTGAATTTTTCGGTGTTGAACGTATACCGTGTAAGAGTTACATTAAAACAAAGAAACAAATAAAGAAAGAGTCTGGAAATCCTCGCTAAATCCTCACTCCTAATTCTGTGTTGGCTTTCAGGCGAAGGGAGCGACGGTATGAACTGCGTGCGCTTTGGCATGGTCACTGAGGAGACGGATCTTCAAGAGCTTCTCGCCCTCGTGTACAATACGGGCAAAGAGATTGAGTCCTCATCCAAATTTATTGAGCAAATGACCCAGGTTGTCAAAAAAGGTGCGTTTAAATGACTATGAGTATCTCTCCAATTAAAAAGTTTTGCATTGGAATTAGAATATTTTCGAGAGAGTTTTGATTAAAAATTTTAATTAAATTTACCTATAAGAATGAGTGTAAAAAGTTTCGTACAGATTCAAGCTGATTAATAAATTTAAAAGTGACTTCCAATTGTGGAAGGACGATTTGGAAGTTACTTCCCAATTTAAAGTTGTTTCTTTCATAGGAAAAGCCAGAATGGGTGTGGAGGTGTGTTGAATTGTTGCGGCCTGCGTGTTGAGACGTATTAAATTTAGCAACCTAACGAGAACCACTGAATTATTGTTAATGAACCACTGAATTGTTTAGATTGATATTATTGAGATATTATTGATACACTGAATTATTGAGATTGATATTACCCAGGCATTGAGGCAGCTACGGAAGACCTCCGCCGTGAGAACGAGGAGAAGATTTGGCAGGAAGGGCTGCTGCGCCACGTGCCCCTCGTGGGCTCCGTTTACAACTGGCTGTCCCCGCCCCCCCAGCAGGGAGTGCGGGGCCGCACCCTCGACCTCAATGCGGGCGTGCTCGAGAGCACTGAGAACATCTACAAGTACCACATGCAGGTGGCTGCTCTGTTGAATATTTCAGTTGAGGTGTAGTAAAGTAGTAGCACATGCAGGTGGCTGCTCTATTGAATATTTCAGTTGAAGTGTAGTAGAGTAGCACATGTAATCGCTACTCTGTTGAATATTTCAGTTGAAGTGTAGTAGAGTAGCACATGCAGGTCGCTGCTCTGTTGAATATTTCAGTTGAGGTGTAGTAGAGTAGCACATGCAGGTCGCTGCTCTGTTGAATAACCGCCCCCCCAGCAGGGAGTGCGGGGCCGCACCCTCGACCTCAATGCGGGCGTGCTCGAGAGCACTGAGAACATCTACAAGTACCACATGCAGGTCGCTGTTCTGTTGAATATTTCAGTTGAAGTGTAGTAGATTAGCACATGCAGGTGGCTGCTCTGTTGAATATTTCAGTTGAGGTGTAGTAAAGTAGCACTAGCACATGCAGGTCGCTGCTCTATTGAATATTTCAGTTAAGGTGTAGTAGAGTAGCACATGTAATCGCTACTCTGTTGAATATTTCAGTTGAAGTGTAGTAGAGTAGCACATGCAGGTCGCTGCTCTGTTGAATATTTCAGTTGAGGTGTAGTAGAGTAGCACATGCAGGTCGCTGCTCTGTTGAATATTTCAGTTGATGTGTAGTAGAGTAGCACATGCAGGTGGCTACTCTGTTGAATATTTCAGTTGATGTGTAGTAGAGTAGCACATGTAGTTCGCTGCTCCATTGAATATTTCAGTTGTATTATAGGACAATATCTCACGTAGGTTGCTGCTCTGTTGGATAATTCAATTGAAGTATATATAGTAGTAGTTCGATAGCAATTGCTGTTTACAACAGGCTAGAAATGTGAGTAATTCGAAAGTGGGAACGGAATTCACTATTTAATTTTTGATGCAGATGTTGATGGGAGTGGCTTACAAGCGCTGTAAGTTCGGCGTTGCCAACATTGTGAGCTGCTGGCCACATTAATTAATGTGGAGGTTTATTTCTATTTTGTTGATGGTATAATATATTCCATGTGCAATGCTGCTCGATCTAAGTTTGTTTGTAATGTCGAGTCAGCAAAATATTTTGTGTCTATGGTACAACTTTATTTGTAATGTCGACTCGGTAAAAAGTCCTGGCATCTTTGATCTAAGTTTGTTTGTATTGTCGACTCGGTAATATATTCATGCATCTCTGATCTAAGTTTCTTAAGTTAAGTTAAGTTAAGTTATGTTTTCTAAGTTAAGCAAGTTTCTTTTTAATGTCGACTCGGTAAAATATGCTTGCATTTTTGATCTAAGTTTGTTTGTAATGTCGACTCTGTAAAATATTCTTGCGTCTTTGATCTCATTTTTTGTGTGCCTGAACAGATCCGTCACGGTGAGGCCGCTGCAGCGCACGGTGATGCCAAACTCCCGCCTGCGCCGTCCGTACAGACGACCGTCTCGCCTGCACCCTCCTCGCCCTCGCACTCGCGCACCTCGTCTGCGTCATCGCGCCCCGCTCCTCCTGCGCCAGCCAGCATCGTCACCTCCGCTGCCAAGACTGAGCCCGTCGCTGGATAAATTTCGTCTACAGTCTGATGAATTTGATTCAAAGTTTGCTTAATTTGATCAATGGTCTGCTGAATTTTATCCATTGCTGGGTAAGACACCTTCGAGGATGTAAGGATATATCCTGAGTCTAGTGCAACTTCCATATTTAAGCTGGACTGGCACGAGACTGCAGCTTCTGAAGTTTATCTTCATCTTGATTCCTGTTGCTTTTAAGCTCATCATTCGAAATACAATGTGTTAATAATATTTACGGTTTGTGTTATGAAGGCATTATTGTTATTGTTTGTGTTTTATTTTTGTGTACCACTCTTAGTCTTTCTTGTAGCAGCTTTAATCTGTGTAATGCCTCGGTTGTGGGTTTTCCAGTAACTCCGTCGTATCATCTCGCATGCCGCCATTTCCTTCACTACTTTTCTTATTGCTATAACTCGACGCTTTTTGCCTACATTCGAAGCCTTATCACATCGCACATAGATTGTAGGTCTGTTTCTCCTAAATAATACCTCTACTGCTGCCACAAAAACTACTTTATCCACCAACTAGTCTTTTCACGTCGCCTAAGCATTCGTACGTTCACCTAGTCTTTTCCTTCAGGTTACCGAGATCCTTCTATTGGTCATTTATTCCTGCCTTCAAGCTAATTCGTGCCCCGCTTCTTTATGCATACTTTTCCCGCAACTTTCAGCGAACTTTGATGGATTAATCAACTCTTCATTTTGGTGTCTGTGGTGGGAATTATGTTGTCCGAAGTTCAGTTTTGAAAAAAAACTTGATTATTCTTGTATAGATTGTGAGGGTCTTGTTACTTTACTGCTCACTTCACGTATTACGGACCGGTATTATAAAGAAGCTACTCTTGGCTCAACTTCCCTCCGATTATAAACGCGGGGAAGTCATTACTTGTTGCGCTGCCTTGTGTAAATAGTGCGGGTAATCCCTGCAGCGTGCACCGCACGACATCTTGTCAAGTTTTCACCAAGTGCATTCACTTCACCTTAAACGCTTGTTTTTTTTTTTTTAATTATATAAGTATGCTAACTTATATCAAGTATATCTGCTACCATGTATGCTATTGTTGTGATGAATTTGTTGGTGTTTAATTTCTTTTGATAATATGCTATAAATTATTATTTTCGATATCGAGGAGACTAAAATCGGTGGAAAGGAGTTATCTAAAAATACTTTTTTTATCATTTCGTGTTATATTAATATTTCAGCGATAATTTTTATTTATTGGCCGTCACTGAAATTCCGCTTATGTACTTCCACTTCTGTTGAATCTTGTCATAAGAAATTTAGCTTCATCTTGCTTCAATTGTCTTCAGATCTTCGTTTTTCCATCTGAGTAATTTATTTATGGAGGAAAAATGTGCGTTGGCTTGAACCCAAAGCAAACCCTGGGCATTTGATGCAACTATTAACATTCCTTTGTCTTGTGTGGCTGTGGTGTTTCGTGTTACATTTCTGCCTTGTTTTTGTCGGTTTGTTGTTAAAATAATTTTGTGTATTTATGTTCTCTATTGCTTACCTTTTCACTTGAAAGGGCGATGTAGAAAATCTTGCATCACCGTCTCTGTAGAAGGGCACAATATGATAAAAATGTTCGGTTTTTAGAGCTCACTTGATACCGATCTATTCCTTAAAAAATGTAAGTAAGACCCTAATCATTTATTACACCCAAATTTGAATTAATTTCTTTTCCATGAATAGTGCTAGTGCGCTGGCTCGTGAAATTATTTACCAAACACAAGACTCTATTGCATGTGCAAGGAGTGAGTACAATACTCATGACGCTCTGGTTCCTTGAAGTTTACAGCACAATGTATAGCATAATTGTTCCTTGGTGATATGGACAGTGAAATGGTGTCGCACACACAGTTCAATTATATGTAGAAGGCCGTCAGAGAATAAATCGTTCGAGTCAACACTATCCAGTTTGCTTGTATGTGTGGCATCACTCCATTGAATTCCTCAACTGTGGCAACTCAGATACTTCTTTTCGGTGCTGAAGGAATAAAGGCCGATTTGGCGTAATCTGGAGCTTTTTTCATCTTCAATGTAGCTTCAATACGTAATTTTATTTCTTCATTTCTAGTATTTCTTCTTACGTATATGATACTTTTAAGAGAAGAATTTACGTAATTATTTTCCTAGCATTTCTCTGAATTTCACCTCCCGAGTAATTTTTTTAGTACCCGGTGTTGCTTAATTGAATTTCCATCCTCTCATTCGGGTGTGAGTAATGAGACTTTGTTTTCTATTTTTAATATCACCATTGCCCTGCTTTGTTAGCAATAATATATCTATTATGAAACCATTCTGTAATTTCTCTTATTATCTGATTGAAATGATGCTTATACTATTTACTTGCTGAGTGCAAACTTTTCATTTTTTCAAGGTTTCATTTTTTGCGTGTTATCACCTTCATCTCCATTAAATTTCTAAACAGAACATTTCGATTCTGATTTCACTTTTCACACGTTCGGTATTTTTATATTTATTGCAAAACGATGTTTATCTTCATCATTTAATTTGTTAAACGTTTGTAACCTAATTTCCATGCCACGCTCCCAAAGTAGGCTGTTGTAGAATTTGCCCCGACCAGTGCGTGCTGTAGTGCTGTTGCTGCTGACAGGTTAAGGATAATTCTAGCGGAGAGCGTCAAAACCCTAGTGCCTCGGAAGAAAACTTTGATTTTGTGTTGCTTAGCGTTTTCATTAACCATAATATTTTGTTTCCGTACAAAAGTTAATTAGCTGATTTTCCGAGATAAATATAAACTTAATCGTATCAAATCCATCATGTGCTCTAGATATTCAAGGCATTATTTCCCGCACAAAATGTTCGCTTGCGCAGTGTGCGACATAACAGGACCTTCACCTGGGGATGGCCCCCACCCCCAGTCATCTACGCAATGATTGCAATTTTCTTCACGAATTTTCTGCGTGAGAGTTCAGGTGTTGTGATTCTGTATAATGTCAAATAGTTATAATCTTCGCACAATTTATGTATCTGAATTTTTTTGGCATTTATTAAGTTGAAGAGAATAAAAACCACATCATTAAAATTTAAACCCTGCATTATTATGTTGCTGATGAAATTCATTGCGTTATTCTATGTTGTTTGCACTCTTCCTTCTATTGTCTAGTTTGGGAAAAACTTAATTTCTTGTAGCGCTTACATGATCTTGGAGAGACCTGAATGTATGTGAAATAGTTCCAGATTTGGAAAAATGATTATATGAAAATCTTACCGTTTCTGAACTGTCATCTCTGCGACTGCTGTGGTTGAACTGACGAGTGACGACACATGAGGAAAACAACTTCCGGTGGCGTAATGAGAGACTCGAACGTAGTTTATAAAGAAATTTCTACTATTTTGTAGGATATCTCAAATTCGATCACATGAATTAACTGTGTTAATTAGCTGTAGAAACTAATTTACCGAAAATTCTGTCAGTTTACTACAAATTAAAAAAGTTGAGTTTAAGTTGATTTACGTTTAAATTATACGACCATGGTAAAACTAATACCATGGATACGACATCAAGACAATTTATTTTAGCTTGATGAGTCATTTATTAAGATTGATGAGTCGGAAATCCCATTTTTTGCATAAAATAATTGTTCATGGTACACATTTCAATACCATCTAACACTAATTGCACAGAGTAGTCAAAGACGAAATTTTACTCAATGGAATGGGGAAAGATGAAGGCATGAACTGGAACTAAAGAGAAATCGATTACCTCTGGGTATATAGAATTTTTACGAAAAATTGGTGTAAACCATATGAAAACCGAGAAAATTTTATCATATAAACTTCTTTAATTATATTAGGAATTTATTCATTCACAAATTTACTCATGTCTCTGACGTCATGAATGTTTACCCAACATGGCGGCCCAGTAGCAATCTTGCCTTCAAAACAAAATGCGCAGCAGTAGTTTGTGTTGCTATCTTTTATAGTTTATTTTTACACTTGTGCAATATAATAAAAAATTTCGTTTAATCTCTGCTACTTGTGGTGAGTTGAAAATCATCATTTACGTTTCTGTCACTACTAATATGTTGAAAGAGATAAGAAATAATTATAAAAGTAAATAGTTATGCTAAGGAATAAATTTTATCATTTCAAATAGTAGGTAGGTAGCCTAGTCCAGTAGCTATGATAGTGAATAATGTTTAAAATTTGAGTAAAAATTTCTCGGATATTGCCAAACAAAATACTTAGTGTTAGTTATTACATTTTTTCCCCTTCTTTAGTTCCATTAATTAAGAATCAAGATTATCTTCATTAGCCTACTTCCTAATCATTCCTAAGGCTAGCCTAATAATATTAGGTACACAATGACAATGCGTCTTGTAACTTGATAATGAATGACTAAAACATTGTCAACAAAATAAAAATGTCCTTTGGTACCCAGACGGGCCAGACCCTACCCTGATTTTTTATTTAACAGTGCAAATAATGAATATTATTTGATATATTGGGAAAAAGTTACAAGAAAATTATCAATAAATTAAATTCTCTGTCTTCAATGATACCTAGCTAGTACTTGCTTAAATAGAGTTGAATTTGAAGGAACAAATTCTACAATCCCATACTAATAGTTCATAGCTACTACAGGTTTTTAGAATAAGTTCCCTGTTCCTTTTTAATCTCTTTATCTACTCTAGATTTAGATTTAAACCAATATCTTAAGTATGAAAATGCTGGAATCCATGATACTTCACTGGCCTACTTTACTTTTTCTTTTACTTTAGGACTCAATAATGATAGTGAGCAAGAGGAAATGTCTAAAAAGTCTCTGCATGACTGCATTAATGCATTTACACTATGTATTGTATGTACCTTCATTGCATGATTGCTGTATATGAATGGACATACATACAGGTGAAATGAGGGAAGGGAAGACAAATGTTTTGTGTAACTGTTTGGAAGTATAAGCCACTATAAGGAATTATTACATGGTGGAATTCCAGAAAGTGGTTGATCATTTAGGTGCAGCAGAACAATTGGAGCGCTCCACAGTTGAGGACTGGGGCACTGCGCCCCATTTGGGCAGGGGGTATGATAAAGGTAAACACACCATATTCCAACATCGTTGGTAATTCTGACACTTCTTAACTTTAAATTTTTTCTTTATTTTAAGCTTTGTCTTAGTTCCACGCATGCGTAGATAGTTGAAATAGTGACGTCATACTATTGCGCGCAATATTTCTGCAAAACGCTAGGTCTGGCGAGAAAATGTTAAGATTGTCAGAGCAAAAGTCCACATCACCCGGTGAGAACATCAAAACATGTGTCAAGAGTTGATAGTTGACCTTGCTCTACCAAATACTGATAAACTGTTTGTGTAGAAAGAATATTATGGTCTGAGACTTTTAAGAGGAGCATCTACCCTAAATTTTATCTAGGTAATTTACAGAAGATTAAATTGGAAATTTGGTACACATGTGTAAACCCTAAAAAAACTCTGTTTTTATTCATGTCAATTTTTTGAAAAAATTGAAAGAAAACGTGAAATTCTTAGAAAACAGCCAAAAAGGGGTACTTTAGATAACCTATCTCTTCCTAGGATTTTCAAGCTACAACATCAAGACAAATATCATTCGATGCTTAAAGACCATATCTACAAACTGGTCATGGTTTTTTTTAATTTCTTATTTTTGTGGGTGTGGGAGCATTTTGTCCGAATTTTTTTAATTTTTCAATTTTTCCTTTAAAAAGTCTCTGCATGACTTCCCCCCACCCTTTTTGCAAAATAAAATCCGAACTATAACAAACTTGGATAAAAGCCCACAACCAGTTTGTAGATCTTTTCTTTGCAAATCAAATGGTATATGTCTCATTGATGTAGCTTCAAAACTCTAGGAGGAGATAGGTTTGCCATGAGAGAGGTTTTCATGTTTTCAAACTTTTCAGTAGAGGCAAAAAATCGTGGCGCGCTATGTAAAGGCATGTAACGCAGCTTAGATACCGGAAGTAAGCGTTATCTCACTTCAAAGTCAGTCAGCAGTACATAGGATGACTATATCAACACCTTTCTGCATGATGGTTGAGTGATAACTGAGCTGCAGGTCCAGTGATAGCCATTTTATATAGCTTGGCTGTAATTATCCCCATAGACTTTAGTGAAGGGACCCCACCACCCTCCCCCCTTTCAGGATCTGTCCTGAAAACATAAATCAACATACAGAGATGGTTGTGTAGTACCATTCAATGTGGCAAAAAGTAAGCTGTAAGATGAGCTTAATAACTGGAAAAGCCAAAAATTCAAATTTTTAGCATAGAAGCTCCCTTTATAAGTCTGTGAATATATTATGAATCCTTTAAGTATACTTGTATTTGCCGATTTTAATTGGTAAATAAATTGATAGGTGATTAAGTTCAGAGATGGTTTTAGACATATAAAAATTAATTCCAACACAGCTTGGAATTAGACACACACAGCTCGTTCTGAGCTATGTCGTATTCCAATACAGCTCACACAGGGCGTCGGAATTCCAAAACAGGATATTGGAATTATGAATTATGATTTTGAAGCGCTGTCAGAATTAGTCTCACAATATGCCAAATTTAGTCGCACACAGCGTTGGAATTCAGCAATTTTGTAGATTTGAATTATAAAGGCTTTTAAATAAATATGGCAACATTTTGTGACGTTTCATCATTGCTGGCGCATAGTGTTGTATTTTGAGAGTGACGTAAAGCAATCAGAACTCGAGTTGGGCAATAGGGTGCTCTTTTTATAGCCATTCCTTTCTTGCTATGTCCTTTGAAGTGTCGGAATATGGTGTGTTTACCCTATTGCATAGGGTAAAGACATTTAGAATTTACAAGGCTTCACAGTTTCCATTAAGGAAACTGTGAAACACTTGATGGAATGTGAGGTGTATGAGAAAGATCTTCTGTATATCTACATTGGGTTGGGATTTACCTACTTATGAATTAAATCTTGCAGCTACAAAGTGACATATGTTTTATTCTTTTATAATCTTGCAGCGTGACTATGCAATATTATCAATAAGTAAATTGGAGTTAATCCATCTAGTAAAATCTTGCTGCTCCAAAAATGGTGGGAAAGCTCTAGTTGCAGTTTGAATGGTAGATATATTTCATGCCAGCAGTCTATGAGGAAGGTGATTCCAAATGAATGAGCTAAGATTAAGGAAGTGGGGTGTAAGATAATGAGAGAACAAGTACAGAGTGGATGGCAATGATTGTGGGTCTGTCTGAGGGAGCAACTGTGACCATGTTTAAGAGTGTGAAGCGATATTTAGAGAATGTGAGGAAGTCATGGGGGAGGAGGAGGATGATTAGAGTGGGGCCTTGAAGAATGGAGAGTTCTGGGCTGAGATGGAGGAGGGTTGGAAGGCAAAGTTGACCATGCCAAATGTTTTAGTGCATTATTTATGTTTTTAGGATGTTGACATGTATAACTCAATGTGGTCCATTAAAATTTTAGTAAATACTTGTTGATTGAAATTTTTCAACTGCCTAGCACGATGTGAAATTTAAATTATTTTACACTAGTAAAAGATTTTTATGCAGCATCAATGACAAATCTAAAGCTCTTGACTGGAGATCATCATGCATTTAATTCCAATTCCAATTTGTCATCAGTGATACCAGTACTTGAAATAATGGGATTTAATTCATCTAACAGTAATTTCGCAGTCTCAAAAATGGCAAGAAAGCTCTAGTTGGAGCCCAAAGGTAGATATATTCCATTAATGCTAAATGCTCTCCAGAGTTATTTTGTCATTTTTAGAGCCACTAAATTCCTCCTGGTGCTAGAAGGCATGTCAGGGTGCAAAGAGTGGATCTGAAGATCTCTGAGGACACAAAAAATCTATGCCTTCAGAAAATTTTGCCAATACATTTCTCAGTAAATACATTTATATATGTAGTTTGGCAAGAAATCTGGAAGTTTTACGTGGTTCTGGCAAAAATTCCTCTATAGCACTGGCAACACTTTTGGCCTAAAAAGGATCTTAGGAACATAATTGCCAAACTCAGCATAGTGGGGCAATATTGGAATTGACAAACTTGTCACAAAAATCTTGTGGCTTCAAATAAACAAATTTTTAACACATACCGTCGAACGGGGTAAAAAGGGACAGGCAGGGTAAATAGGGATGTGCATCCCACATTTCGTAGAAATGTTGTAGTAGCTAAACTAATCAAAATATTGCAAAACTAAAAATAGTGGCATAAACTTCAACATTTTTCTATCTATCATGTGTATAAAGCTAGTCAAGAAATCAAACTATCCACTCTTACTATCTCTGAAAAAAAAGTGTGAAAAGTGCGATTTTGGAAAAGTACCTCTGCTAAGGTCTGGAGCAAAAAAAATATTTGCCATATTGAAAAATTTCACTTACATTAAAAGTTGCACCCAGGTGTTGGCTTGAAAACTTAATTGACAGAATTTGCCTATCTCGTTAAAAAAAATGGCAGCCATTTCTGCGTGATGGGGTAAAAAGGGACACCCCCGGGGGTAATTAGGGACACCCTTAAAATGCATTTACAGTTAAACCAGGTTATAAGGTCAGTTAGCAAAGGCTCCAGTTAACAAAAAAAAATTGCTTATCAACAAACAATTTTGATTACATTTACCTCGCTCGGTGAAAAAATTATCAAAAAATTAGTGCATTTATCGGTCATCACAAAATTGTACATAGAATGCTATATATAGAATTGTGCACTGGGCATCATGGAATGAAAAGTAATTGACCTAAACTATGATTTATTTCTTCAAAACATATGATGGTTGTCACTAAAGCATTATTTTCTGTTTCAGGTATGTTTTTCACGATTTTTTTTGTTATAGTGAAATCATTAGACTTGATTAAAATTGTGCGAAATTACAAGCCATCCTGTAAGCTTACAGATACAGAAGAAATGCTACATGGCTGCTGATATGAAGCTTGCAGTGGACAAGGTCGTTGCCAATGCTCAATGGCATGTCCATGGATACAGTAATATCACTTTAATAATACAGTAATTAATGAATATGGTAATATCATATCAATAAAGGAAAAACAAGTAAAAATCACAGAAAATGGCATTTATTTTACATCTACATCATCTACAATGAAAGAGGAGGACTTCAGAGTACTGTTAGTAATAGATGAGTACACTCTGTATGCTTCAAATGTTTGAAATTGAGTTTTATTTCAAGTGTCCCTTTTTACCCCATTCCAAGATTGATTTAGGAGCCTTTTATATTGCGTCTAGCGCCTTACAAATAGCATGTGGAATTTTTTTTGAAGATGCCATTTGATAGCCCTCACAGAGAGCTATAAAATGAGCCTAAACTTGTTTCTGAAATGTTTCATGGTAAGAAGTTAACAAAAAACGCTCAAAACCATCCCTTTTTAGGGTACGTACACAGTGGAAGCAGGTTTGCCCGCGCGGGCAACCTGCTCCAACCTGCCACAAGAATGAACATAGGATAATAATGTAAGTGTTCACAGTGGAAACCTGTACGAATAGGCTTCTGCCAATAACCTGCTTATACCTATTTACCGGAATGTACTGCACATTCTTATCTGCTCAACCTGCTTGGCATATGGTCATTTTTGAATTAGTTGTACCTTTAAACCCTCCATTTTCTTTATTTCTTTGGAGGATTATCGGAGAATTATCGAAGTGGCGCTGGCGTCCACTGCCTAATTAATACGATAACGACAACGCGAAATTGTTGGGACATGGGACAATGGGACATGGGACAATGGGACATGGGACAATGGGACATGGGACAATGGGACATGGGACAATGGGACATGGGGCAATGGGACATGGGACATGGGGCAATGGGACATGGGACAATGGGACATGGGACAATGGGACATGGGACATTGGACATGGCATGTTTATGTTTATGGTGCAGGTGATGACATGTTTATGGTGCAGGTGATGTGGACATGTTTATGGTGCAGGTTCAACAGACAGTAAAGACTTCGATAAATTCTCAGCTTTTCTCATGATCAAATTTCTTCTTAAAATTTTTTAACAGCTTTTCAGCGGTTCAGAGAGTTTGACGGGTTATATGATGAATTTATCATGCGATTTATAGTGTACTGATGACAATAAGATGAGAGGTCATTCATCTAACAGAAATTTTTAGGCTCCAAAAATGGCTGAACAGCTCTAGTTGCAGCTAGAAAAGTTAGGTTATATTCTATGCTTGTAGTGAGACATTTTACCCTATGTTGCTGACCTTCTGTCCCTGTTTTGTTTCATATCCTATTGCAAATAAAATATTGATCAATCAACACCAAGTGGATGACTGGATGGTATCTACAGCCAGTTTTGATTAATCCACATGATCCATGACATATGGCAAGTCTACATTGTTCATCTGCTATTGACCAAATCTATTGTAAATTACAATCTAAGCAGACATGGAATATTTATACTTTCCAAGTGGCAAGTTAAATTTCTCCTGCAATCTAGCTGCAATATCTCTTGTATAAACTGTCTTGTAATTCTTAACAAAGGTTCATGAGTCAGCCACAAGATTCCAAAGTTATCAAATATATGTCAAATTGAAGCTGCAAAATTTCTGTATAAAATAGAAAAATTCTAGTCTTGAATTGATGGGGAAGCACAATTGGTAACCACTGTCTGCCACAATTGTATCATGGCATCTGCAGCAATAAATTAGCATCCTCGATCTATGTTGTACTATACTTTACACTCAGGTGTGTTTGAAGCCTGGCACTGCAAATATGCAGGGGCTGTTGCATGTGCATCTCCAAAATATTCATTTTGAAATATTAACAGAAGCTGAAATTCAGTTCTTAGTTGGAAAATAGGAAAGGATTGGATAAAAATTTTAAAAATGATTTATCAGTAGGCAGGTAAAAGTTCAATTTGTTAGATACAAAGTTTTTTTTTACATATTTTGAAACAAAAATCAAATCGGAGTCTTTTTTTCCTGTGTGCTATGTAGACTTGAAAGAGGATTCATTTAATTAGAATAAATAAGCTCTGATATTGGGTTACAGGGATGAAAAAACTTGGGATAATAAGGATAAAAAATTGCAGAATTTATCCAGCCCCAGTGATACCAGGCCAACCTGCTTGTTTTGAGTTAATTTGAATTACAATGGTTCTATTAAGCAGTACCTATAGTATCTGTCAACTGGGGTGACTTCGGCCACCACTACAACAGAAACAAATGACAGCAAGACAAAATAATAAATGTTGACCAAAGTCACCCCAGTGGCCAAAGTCATCCCAGTCACTTTGGCCAGTGTTTATTATTTTGCTTTGCTGCCATTTGTTTCTGTTGTAGTGGCAGTGGTGGAAGTCATCCCAGTTGATGGTAACAATTAATTAGATGTCCAGCATGTGTCTTATAACAGCCATTATGGCTCGTAAGCTCTGGAAACAATTGAGTTGATATTTTCCTCTCATGTTCATAGTGGCAATTGAGACTTGATAGTTGCTCTTCATGGAACTAGTAAAGTTTCATAGATAAAAACATTAATATACAGATGATATTGATGAAATCTTGAAGATCTGGCAATCAAAATGAACTGTTAACTTGAAAGGCTCAAGTTGAACAATAGACTTGAAAACTTTTCTTGCTAACTGGAGTTGATTTTTCAGTAATATCTAATTTGTTAAATCTATTATTTACTTATTCCTATTTGGCTCCCTGCAATGACAGACCAAGCTAAGTTACTCAAGGAGAGGTTTGTTGAAGAAAACTTCAGAATTTGTTGATTCATCTTATTTGAATTTTCTTACTGAAAGCCTTGAAGAAAAAATTTAAATGAAAAATCTTGGAGGATTCATTTCATGGACACTGGACAGCCACTGCACTCTTCTTACCACCAGGCAGACAAATTATAAAATAATTAGCTGATTTATAATATGTTAGGTAAATGTCATTAAAATAAAATAAAACATAGCTTAATTGGTCAATAAATGGTGAGCAGTTCTCAAAACATTAAACAAAAATTTTGCTTGTGTTACGTAAAAAATAGATCAAGTCTTCAGAGAGTCTAAAAGTTAGGTGCTATGGGGCCTTGACTAGGATCAAAAGATCCACAGGATACATCAGATTTAATACCCTTAAGATTTGGAGCCATGATTGTAGCAATGGGTGATTGCTGATTTCACTTCAAATATATGAATATATGTATATATTTACAAAATGAATATCAATATGGTTGGTGGCTAGTTTGAAAAAACTTCCTTTTTGTGCTGAAATTTTACAGCTTCATAATCACATAACATCATATAGTAACCCTATAGCAAGCAACTTGAAGTATATGCTGAAATAAAATCTTTATAAAGCATGGCATCCTTTGCATCATCGCCCTCAGCTTCCAAATGTCTTTGCAATCTGAATCACAGACACAGTTGCTTCTTCCAAAAAACCCACAAGTGGTCTAATATGTACACTCAAAAGGTTCTCCATGCCCCATTAAATTACTCTAACCGCCATCTTTCAGATTCACCTACATCATTACTCATCTCCTCTTACATGCCTCGCATTTCAACAACAGGTGTTTCAGTGGGATACCATCAGGTGTTAACCTGTGGATCAGTTTCACAGTTTCCTTCACATCAACATCATGCTTGAAGTACTCATCCTATCTCCTTCCATCTCCTCTGTATCCACTTACATTCAGCACCCTTTTTTCTACACAAAACCTTAGGTCTACAGCTTAGCTATTCATCATGTAGACATTCACAATTGAGCATGAGTAGTACTCCTGGTACTTTCACTACCAGGAGTGGATTGCACTAGCAACAAAGTAGCCGTGTTGTTAAGGGTGCATGGAGACTGAAACAAGTTTAATATGAAATAATGCTGTCTTAATGCAGCATGATATTATATCAACATTTTTTCTGTGTAAAGATATGAATATAATGCTGATAAATTGCATTTGTACTTTAATTTTTCCTATTACCTATAATATAATTTACTGTGGTAATTCTAAGTGTATAAATATTCCTTGATGTTGCTTCTATACATTAATTAATGATCATCAAGAAATTATTATAAACAATTATCACAAGCATCTGGTATTTCTTCTGTGAATAAAAATATTTCGATTATTAAGCACTCAAACGGCTAGCCACAATTGTGATCAGTCTTTTGTTGTGAATGTGGTTAGAGGCGGAATACTTGCACAAACCATTCTGCTTTCCCTTATAAATTATCAATAGGCTCAAAAGCTGTCAAACATGATGATTATGTAAAGTTGAAGCAATATGTATAAATGTATCCAAAAAAACAATACATAAATTGTATATACTTACTCAATTTTTCATGATGAATGGATGTGAACAAACAATGGGATTTCTATTATAACAGATGACGTATCGATTATTAACATGATAAATTTTGGGATGCATTTTTATTTAATGAAATTTCAATAAGAATGTACGCTTTTTTGTTGTGTAGATCTCGCATCTGAGGTCGACGCGAGGCAGCGCAATGGAACAAGACCACGAGGAGAAGCCCTCCAGTGCGGACACTTCTCCCGTGACGACCGCCTTATCTCCCTTGGACGTGTACGAGTTTGACCAGGAACTCGAATATGAGGAGGAAGACTTGCAGTACAAAAGCTCCCGCGCCGCTACCACCACTGCCACCACAACAACCACATACTCGTATCGTCAGGATGCCCAAGAAGCGATATTCGACGACGATGACGACAATGAGGAAGATGCCAGCACGAGCGGCTTCGGTAGCGGTGCGTGCACCAGCTATGATAACCTTAGTGGACTGGGATACAGCGGTGCCTCGCGAGACGGGGATGTGGATGTGGGGACTCTCAGTGGACTCATACTCGAGCCTGGCGCTAGCCTCATGCTTGATGATGACGGATTCTCGGATAACGTCGAGGATAACGAAGAACTTGACACGGTGGTCGAGAGACTTATGCGTCGCAGCGACAGCATCAACAACAAAACTAGGTGAGTTTTTTTGCTATTCAGTGGCATACATGATGCAGTGATGATGTTCACTTCCTGTCAATTTAAAATCCCGTGTATTCTTTCTCCACTGTAATATCAAGCTGTATATCAAATTTATTATTATTAAAACTGCTCTGTAATATTAAACTGTATGTTTTTGTACGTTGATGGAGCAGGGGAAATGACCCTGGAAAATTTTATTTTTAAGGCGATCATTTTTTAAACCTTTCCTATAAATACGTATTTTCAAATGATTTGGTTTGGCATTATTTTAAATGTTCGACGAGTTGATTAAATTTATAATAATCGTGAAGAAGTACACCGTCGGCCAAGGTAAGTTACAACACTTGCATGTATTCCTTAAATAATGTTGCTAACTGTAACTGTAAGTTTCATCAAACGTTATTTGTTCAAGAGGGAATAATTGCAGTTTTGTTCCGCGAAAGCTACTGCGCATCTCGGCTATTTATACTCGCAAGTACGCTGCTGCCCTCCGCGTTCGTCGAAGCGGTAAAATAACCTACAGCCTGTCTAGACCGCCATGTTCAACTATATTAAGCGTTGAAAACGTGTTTAATTAAGTGATCAAGGTACTTTAGTTGCAATTCCCGTTATAATGGCAAACTATGTATCAACCGTTTTGCTGGAGGCAATTGATTCAGCGTGTTTCTATTTGAAATTGTTGAACCGGATTTTTCATCCAATTAAAAGGTATTGTTTTATTCTCTGTCGGGTATGAAATTTCGATGGTATAAAAGCGTCATCGTAAGTTTCCATGTCAATTTTCAGCAGGCTGGTAAAATGCTTGACATGCATTAACCTGGCTGTTCTATATTGGCACAACTTGCATTTTGACGAATGTTCAGACACGACGAAGTCCAGTAAATGCTCAACCAAATTTAACTTGTTCATGAAAAACGTGCATATGATTAGAACGTGCATGCACTTGGCTATTAAATGGCATTTACGAAGATGACCATCGTAAGAAATAAGTTTATATCAAACTTGACATCCATGGAGTATTGGAGTGTAAAAATCTAGAATGTTTCCAGTGTAAATTTCAGCGAGCTCTGCATTCCCATTGACACTGGAAATCTTTGAAGTTTTTATGTTCATATTCTCATGCAACTACTTGCACGCGTTAATTAATGAATTTCCATCAGCGCCGCAATAGATTACATTAAAGTAGAAGAACTGCGTGCTTTCGAGCTATGTCGCTTTATTTATTTCTTTGCTGGAAATGACGCGAGTGCTTGCATGCATGCTCGCCTGCACGCATGCCTCATGCTTGACGTTCAACTTGGCTCGGTCAAACTCGCCTTGTGTTCTATTTTGATGTTGAATTTAGATGGACGAAACTTGCCTCGTGCTCTATTTTGATATTGAATATTATTTAACTAAACTCTCTTCGCGCTGTTTTAGTACGCAAATGTATCCTCTAGCAGGTATATATAGACACTGAACCGGTGGACTATATACATGCACAGTTGAAGTGCACACAATTAACACACGCATCCAGCAGTTGTTAATTGCTGCACGCCTGTTGAGCCGTATAGTTTATTGGACGTATAGTTTATTGAGTACATGACGTATAGTTTATTGGAGCAGATCTATACTGCGCCATGGGTTCAATTTTTCTGCTCTTAAAAAGAATGATGTTAATATATCTGGGATACTTTCAGAAAAGGTGAACCTAACACATGCCAAAGTAACTTGAGTTGGATGCAACGATTTTTTTTTCGATTTACCTGCGCTTGAGTTCTGATTGCCTTTCGCAGTTGATGGAACAGATGCGCCAGCGGCTGATTTTCTCGTTCGTAGAAAATCGAAATTCCCGTTATGGCTTTGTTTCATCTGTTAAGCAATCCTCTGTTTTCGTTTTCCGTTTCCGATTTTTACTTATGTTAAGTATGAAGGCTATACAGTCTGGTACACACAAGCAAAACTATAATTTAGCAGAAAAATTTATTTGCATTTTACCGAACGCGCATCGTGGTGCAGCTTGACATAACGTGCAGTGCAGACTTCAGGGATGTGGTGCTCCCTTAGTTTTGCATGGGCAGTGATGACTTCAGGGATGTGGTGCTCCCTTATGTTTTGCGTGGGCAGTGAAGACTTAAGGGATGTGGTGCTCCCTTAGTTTTGCGTGGGCAGTGAAGACTTCAGGGATGTGGTGCTCCCTTATGTTTTGCGTGGGCAGCGAAGACTTCAGGGATGTGGTGCTCCCTTAGTTTTGCGTGGGAAGTTTTGCGTGGGCAGTGAAGACTTCAGGGATGTGGTGCTCCCTTAGTTTTGCGTGGGCAGTGAAGACTTCAGGGATGTGGTGCTCCCTTAGTTTCTTGTGACCATTACTACGCAATGTATTTTTGCTGTGCGCACCAGAGATGTTCATTGCTCGGTCAGCCAAGTCTCTACACCCATTAAGCTCATTCCAGTTTGTGTATGGTGGAAGCGTCGAGACATGTGAGTTTGTCACTTGCTAGTAGCATTTGATTTTTGTATAAAATGTTTTCCTCTTAGTGGTCAAATGTTAAGTGACTTATTTTGATGACAGTGTCAAATTTTTATCATTGTTTGTCAGTGAATCGAAATGCCGTTGTCATTATTCACGCCTAAGTAATAGGCACACTCAATTAGTTTAATTAAATATTTTAATTTAATTAAACTTATAAGTTATACTTCTGGTTTAATTAAACCAGAAGTATAACTTTGAAATTTAAATTAGGCGGGCTGATTGATATATCTATGCTCAAAATGGAGCCGGTGTGCGCGATGTTGGTGAGTGAGGGGCCCTTGCAATGCGGCCGCTGGAGCGAGTCCCGCTCTGCCGTGAGGACGGCAGGGGGCGTGGCTACCCAGGCTCCGCCCAGGCCACGTCTGGCGGCAAGCTCGATGCGGTGCTGCACGTCTCACTCTCTTCGTGTGGATGTTTCACATACAATACTTGTCTGTCCTTGCACGACCTTCCTTCCTTCCTCACTTACCCTTGCCTTTTGATGTTTGTTCCTCATAGCCTGTTTTATAATATTTCGTTTACAAATACTCTCATGATCTCCATCACTGTTTTACAAAGTAAAAATAATTGCCATGTTTTATTGTTAGATGCTGCTTACACATGATTATCTGATTTTTTTGTTTGTAACTTTTTAGAGGAAGTAATATTAATTGTATTTCAAATATGAATAATTGATGCGACAATGCAATGTTTGTGTCTACTTCAGCATAACTCCTTCCATAACAAATTATTTCGGCGCATGATCCATTTCTCGATTGTTATGCAACGGTTGATCGTCCGCTCATTTCTTGGGTACAATTGATTAGGCGTTTGAAACAAGTTTCCGACTATTGGAAATCTTTTGCATTTCCTTCGTATTCGGTCAACTTTCTGAGGCCATGGGTGCTATTGCACGAGATGCTTCAGTTTAATTTTGCTACAGTTTGTGTGAGAGCAAAAGCGCGTGAGCAGCAGCAGCAGGAGTGAAGCAAGCAATGTATGGCATACCAGAACCAGAGCAGCCGGAGATGCTCTCCGAGTCTCTCCTTCAAATTGCGCCTTACGCTCCTCGCTCAGTGCAACGTACGCACGCATTCACGCGCGCTGAGCGGGAGAGCGTTAGAGCGGGGCTCTTGTGGGGGTCAGGAGGGAGAACGTGGGGGATTTTGGGGGGCCTGCTGGCCGGCGAGCGCTACGGGAGTAGGGAGGTGTGGGGTGCTTGCCGTATACCACCATACTGTGTGCCCTATGTCAGCTCGTATTCTACTCTCTATTGAAATACGTTAGTAGGTGCGTGCGCTTATTTATATTTCAAACTTTCATTCATACTCGGATGTTTAAAAGAACACACTAATATTCAGTAGTTTACTTATGAGGCGTGATCTATTTCAGGTTCCTCCTACTATATTTGGACATAGTAAGTTATTAATGTTTTGTGTAATTTTACAATCCTGATAGCAATTTAGGAATAGGAAAGCATGTACGATATCGTAGATGGACAAGCTTGGTTGGTGGATGAGCCATTATCTATCACTAGAGGCCAGGTTCGGGTCGCAGCTACTTCTTACATCAGGATTCGCATGCTCAGGAGCGTCAGTCCCACTGGGCTTGTTGCACACGAGCCTTCAGGCCGCCTCATTGAGAGCGTTGCTATCAAGCGTTCGCTGAACCGCTGCTGCTGCTACTACACCGCAGCAGCAACAGCCGCTGCTGCTCCTACACCTCGTACCTAGCCGTTCGATGCTTTTAAACGTTCACAGACTTAATTACTTTGTATTTGATGCTTCTAAATGTCCATATATTTAATTATATTGGATGCTTTGAACGTTCATTTTTGTTATTACATTCGATGCTTAAACGTTCATCTATATCCTTTATACGTACGTCTTATTGCTATCGTTTCTTGATCCGACGCTTTTGGTCTAGCGGCTATGCGGAAGATCAAGAAATTGAGATAGATGAATGTTTCAACATGTTTGGAGTCGTCAAATATTGTTTTCGGTATGTTGGCTGTTATATCGATATATTACAATAAGATCTCGATATTTTTCTTATCATTTAAGAATGTTTGGAGAGTTTATTGTTTGTTATCTTTTAAATTAACGACCTTCAGTGTCCATTGTGGATGATATAATGCTTAAGGTTAATTATTAGAATCGTGTTGGGAAGGCTTACGATCGCCTAGCAATCGTAAGCTGCCTATGCAGTTCAATTAATTGGTTTATGCGAAGATCCCTTGAGGTTAGATTAAAATACTTCTGATTAACAAGGACTCAATTCAAATACGTCGGTATATAAATACGTCAGGTTAAAATACGGTTTATGAATTGGAAATGAATTTAGAGACGTCGTGGTTAGGTTAAAATATTTTGGATAAACTGAAACCGAATTCTGAGATGTCGTGGTTAGGTTAAATTCTTTTGAATTAATTGGAACTGAATTCGGAGATGTTGCTAGGCGTTTGAACTAGTATCGATGAAGTGCCGCCGCTAATTGAACTGGTCCG